ATTTGTGAGGGGCTAGAACTGAAAATATTGCCCTCTGCTATGTTCCTCTGACCAACCAACAACCAAGCTAACTTCCATCCTTGCAAAGCAAACCAATTCTGGTGCCAAACTGGCTCATCGTATCAAAAGGAAGATGCAAAAAATTCAGAACAACTATAAAGTTCATACAACATCAAAACCAGTAAAAGGTGTTCCCACAAGGACCTACTTTAGCAAAAATCCCAAGTTTTGTGATTTAAAAAAATTCAGCCAGTTTTTAACCATTAACTGGTTCGTTTACGGGTTATGAGGCCGACCTTCAGGTTCAGAGCCTTGAGCTGGGCGTACCTCTCTATATAGTGAGCAGTAAAGTTAACCTCTCTGTTTGATCTAGCTCTACGTCTGGTTCTGACCCAGTCCAAGTGGGATTTAGTGATACAAATGTTGGTGGTGTAAACAACAATCCTCATGGTCCTGCTTTACATGTCAAGCCAGGGTGGATACCTTGGATTTACATACAAATATTTTGCATTAAGTATCTCAGGACAGGACAACACTCTGCTTTTTTATCTCCTCCGGGCTACATTTTTGACTAAAGATAATAATAAAATCTAAAATCTGATTTATCCAATTTAGAACTACAATGTCAGATCATTTTCTTTTCAATCCCGCCTTACTATGCCTCCCTTTTCAACCGGAGCTGTATTGACGAAGAACAAAATAATAAACACCAAGGCTGTTCCTTGAAGCAGGAATAATCTTCATTTTTTCAGCGTGCTCACATCATCATGAGTCACGGTGAACCGTGTGCACACTCTCCTAGCTCGTATCCATTTTTAGGTGTCATATACGTATAATTCCAGGCTAACAGAGGTAAGACAGAAGCCATTGTGTGACACCCTCAGCAGTGAAAGGACACAGAGTACTAGTGGTCAGCTCTCCACCATTTGTTCGGCTCTGACATACCGCTTTAAGATATCAGGTCATCTAATTAGAAAAGGGGATGAAAAGTTCACAGCTGTGACGTTCGACAATGTGGGAGTGGGAGACGTTGTGGAGGAGATCACACAGCGTGCACTTTCATTTGTCTGTGAAAATGTAAAAGCTGCATGCAAACACTGGATTTGTCAAAACAGGAGCAGCTTCGTTCAAGTCAGAACTTGATGTTTCTTCAATTAGAGTTAGAATAAAGAATCTTGATTACGTGCTTTCTCGCTCGTGCGTGTGTTTGCAAGGGTAAATGTTTCCAGTGATGATGTTTCATCTGCATCCAACATTTTTTGTTTTTGCCTCGTCTGTGTTTATGATTACTCATGCTCGTCTCTGCATGAGAAGTTGAGTGAAGGTTAGTATCCTGCATCAGAAGCAACAACAAAAAGAGAACGAAACAGAAATGTTCTCCTCTCTGCACCTGTGACGTTGCGTTGGAATGTGGCACGCTACGTGAAACAACGGACATCAGTCAACAAACGCTCTGTAGTGATCCAAATGCCATCAAAGGAACTGAGGGCTTTATTAAAAATACAACAATTGAACAACTTTGTGATGCATTTGCAGTAATTGTGTGTTTTTAAACTGACAAATGACAACACACAACATGTAACGTCTCTCAGGGAGGCGAGATAAAACAATGGGTCCGACATGATCTGAGATTCTACCTGCAGTTGCTAAGCAACACCCACCTCCAACCTCTCCATCTGTCCCATTGGTCAGTGGGAAAAACGCACAAAGCACCCCATTGGCTAAGAGAAAGTTAATAAACTTTAGCCAAGACCTGCCTCCCTGTGTGCGCACAAGCTCCCTCCCTCTCTCTCTCTCTCTTACACACACACACATACACACACACACTGAAGAGATTCTTGTGAATGAGAGCATGAGAGGGTGTCAGTGCTTGCGCAGTACAGTGCTGATATATGCGTTGAGCTCCTGAGCTAAAAATAAAGATCACACTGAACGCCGTGCCACTGAAAGTTGCAAGACTGAATTCAAAGTGACAAGTCTAGTTCTCTCCAGACGGAGCAATGAGGTCCCACCCTCATAATAGATCCACAAGGTTTTGTTTTTGTACCTTTGGCTTTGAGCACAAGATTCTGACAAAAGCTCAAACACTCCATCAGGCTAAAAACGCAACAGAGGAGAACCAAAAATATCTTTGAGATGCAAGTCAGAGTAGCAACCATGTACTGAGTCTTAGAGAATCTCTGGCATCGGACAGTTGTACTGCTTTTACTTTTCTTTATTCACTATTTTAAAGAGGAAACATTAGAGTACAAACTTTAGATCAGGGGTCACCAATTTGTGAAGCTGAGAGCTCCTTCACTATTACTGAGCCATACGAAGGGCTACCAGGTTGATACAATACTGACCTCTGAACTAGAATAGATCAGAGTTAAGCTACATTTATAATAAACAAATGTGAATGTTTTTAAATGAAAATTGTCATTTTTTTTAAATCTATATAATGCATTTGTGATTGGACAAGTTAGCAGCAGACGTTTTTAACGCTACTTCATGCTATTTGGAGAAAGGCCTGTGGGCACCAGGTTGATAACCCCTGCTTTAGATGATGTAATGAAGTGGGGGGGGGGGGGGGGGGGGGGGGCACATTTTACCTGTTGTTGTGGCTCCCTCTGTGAACAGCCTCAGAATGAGAAACACAGATTTGTCTCGGGGACTAATTGAGAGCTAGTCATGGAGGGACCAGTTTGTCTTTGTTCAAGCTGTCTTTTGTGTGACCTTTTTCACCACCTTTTCCTTATTCTGCTCTTATTCCGCCTTTCCCCACTAATTTTATCTCTCCAGTTCCTTACATTTCTTGATAACAATAATTTTTTTTTCATTTTAAACATATTTTTAATCGTTTTTATATCTTATTTTTTGTGAAGTGCCTCCTGATTTTTTATCTTGAGAGGTGCAATAAAAAAGATAGTTTTCTTTATAAATGGAGGGTTGCAGGTTCGAAACCCGTCTATTGCAGTCGTGTCCTTGCACAACACGCTTAACTCGGTCATAGGGACTGGCGGCCCCAGTGGTAGCCTTGGATCTAGCCAAGCTGTCACTAGTTGGATCTAGTCTGTTGTGTTCTGGTGAGCAGATGGGGGTATAATGGACCACAGCGGTACATCACTGGATCCATCTACTGTAGAAATGCCAGAACTGAACTGTGGGTCTGGTAAGTTGCCTTTTGTTATTATTTGGACAGCTGTGTGTGTGTGTGTGAGTCGTTTACCTGTTAGGGAGTCAGCAGCAGGATGCTCTATGAGAAGCAGGCAGGCCAGTGGAAGGACTGGGGTGCTCCCAGTGATGATCTGCTGGGAAAGCTTTGGTCCCAGTATCCATGCGGATCTGCAATAAACCTCAGAAACAGGAGCAGGAACTTATCTTATAACTCTTGGAGCCCGATCAACGACTCCATCAGATATCCTGTGAAAACAAGGCTTACTTATATCAGAGAGGATTGGACAGAATCTGGAGCTTCACAAGGAGAGACAAAATAAAATAAAATTTGCCTTAATCTACCACGTTGGTAGAGATGTGGTAATAAAAACTGGCCGTAAACAGAAAATAATCACTTTGATATGCATGTACAGGTCCTTCAAAAAAATTAGCATATTGTGATATATGTTAATGCTATAAACCAAAATAAAGACCGAAAAAAAGAAAGAAGAAAGAAGTTCATTATTGTCTGTAATGTACTGATAAACATTAGACTTTCATATTTATTAGATTCATTACACACAACTGAAGTAGTTTGAGTCTTTTATTGTTTGTAATATTGATAATTTTGGCATACAGCTCATGAAAACCCAAAATTTCTATCTCAAATAATTAGCATATTTCATCCGACCAATTAAAGAAAAGTGTTTTTAATACAAAAAAAGCCAACCTTCAAATAATTGTGTTCAGTTATGCATTCAGTACTTGGTCGGGAATCCATTTGCAGAAATGACTGCTTCAATGCGGAGTGGCATGGATGCAATCAGCCTGTGGCACTGCTGAGGTGTTCTGGAGGCCCAGGATGCTTCGATAGCGGCCTTAAGCTCATCCAGTGTTGGGTCTTGCATCTCTCAACTTTCTCTTCACAATATCCCACAGATTTTCTACGGGGTTCAGGTCAGGAGAGTTGGCAGGCCAATTGAGCACAGTAATACCATGGTCAGTAAACCATTTACCAGTGGTTTTGGCACAGTGAGCAGGTGCCAGGTTGTGCTGAAAAATGAAATCTTCATCTCCATAAAGCCTTTCAGCAGATGGAAGCAGATTTTCCTTCCCAGACGGTGCCTTGATACAGCACTCTGGGAACAGCCTATTCGTTCAGAATTTTTTTTGTCTTACCCTCTTGCTTGAGGGTGTCAATGATGGCCTTCTAGACAGCAGTCAGGTTGGCAGTCTTACCCATGATTGCGGTTTTGAGTAAAGAACCAGGCTGGGAGTTTTTAAAGTCTCAGGAATCTTTTGCAGGTGTTTAGAGTTAATTAGTTTATTCATATGATTAGGTTAATAGCTTGTTTAGAGAACATTTTCATGATATGCAAATGTTTTGAGATAGGAATTTGGGGTTTTCATGAGCTGTATGCCAAAAATCATCAATATTAGAAACAATAAAAGGCTTGAACCACTTCAGTTGTGTGTAATGAATCTAAAATATATGAAAGTCTAATGTTTATCAGTACATTACAGAATGAACTTTACCACAATATGCAATTTTTTGAGGACCTGTATGTATATGCTGCAAACAAGGAAATAACTGGTTATATTTAAATATTAACTGAAATGGATGCATTTTTTTTTAAATAACTAAAATATCCAACTTGTAGAAAAGGTTTAACCACTTTTGCAGATTTAGAGCTGGACAAAAATCCTTCACATTTTAATTAAAGCAATGCACTGAAAGGATGATCGTCACACCCAGGCATGTTTTAGTCCTCCTTTGAGTCTTTTTACGTCACTCATTCAGCAGCAGAACACCTTGTAGCTGAAGCTTCACTGATGTTTATTTTCAAAAGCAACGGCACAAAAAGCAGACTTTAAAAAGGGATTTATTCACATAAAACATTCTGCTACAAACACTTGCCTCATGTAGCATCTATAACTGTACAAAATATTAAAACACTTAAAAAAAACATCCAAACAGACCAACATTAGTTTTATTAGCTGCCCTCGGAGACATGGTCACCTAAAAGACTCGATGTTTTAGAGAACTGTACGTTTGTAAATCAGAGGTCATCCACAGGACATGCTGACTTTGTGCTATTAGAGTTTACATGAACACTATGCATAAAAATCCACCAGCTAGAGTCATCTACAGAAAACCTGCACCAACAGGCTTTTTATTTACAACCAAGTAGATTTCTTTGCAGTGTGACACTAAAAACACAAATATGGTACATCACCTTCACCACAAGTTTTCCTGCTGGAGAGATCTACAACAACAGAACATTCATTCTTTCACTTTTCCTCAAAGGAACCCCCCCCCCCCCCAAAAAAAATAAAAAGCCCAACATTAAAAGTCAAATATGGACGGAAGAAGATGGAGTGAGAATGTCCACAGAGGCAAAAGACCTAAAGGACGTGTGGCTTCACATCCGCTTGGCCACTCGTTTGATCTGCTGGGTGGTTTTATGGAAAATGGACCTGGACTTCTGCCCTCCAAGGAAGCTGAGATTCCCTTCGGAAATGCTCCTCACAACTCTGCCGGGTTTGTTCTCTGAACCTGAGGATGACATCAAACAAACAGATAAACACCAACAATATACAAATATATACATTTAATAATAATAGTGATGTTTACCAGTGAAGCGCTGCACTCTGAGCGGCCCCTGAACCACTAAAGGGTCCTTCTTCATACGCTTCGGTGCTGAAGAATCCTGAGTGAGATCTTCTCTCATGCTGCTGACCATGACGATAAAAAGAGGTTAGAAGGTAAAATGGACGTTTTCATCAGCAGAGACGTGAGATTGTCCATGATAGGACGTTACCTGTTTAATTTACGCTTCCCCTGAGCGGCAGACGTCATGTGCATGTACGTCGGGTTGGCTCGCCTGACATCGTGCAAAGCAGCCGTTTGTTGTCTACAGAACAAGTGTTTACAGTGCGTTACCATGACGAGTGACTAAACAACAAAACATCAAATGAACGACGTTTCTGGCGTTTACAAATGCTAATGCTTCAGTGTCTGAAACCAGAGTGAGCTTTAAATGAAATTCTGAGAAATAATCACTTGTTGCATTTAGAGTCAAGCCAATTCAACATGGCGGCTACTGCTATCCACAGACATCATATACGTAGACGCGACATGGACTGGGGCTGCCTATTGGAGCTTGTGTAGCAGCGAGCCGCCATCTTGTCCCCACTCACCCCTGCTGGCGGTTCTTCACACAAGCCTACATTGTAGCGCCGTTCCCGTCCTTCCCGCTTGACGGTCGGACCGGGGGTGGATGCGTGCGTGGGTCGGGGGCCGCCTGTTGAGTACCGCTGGTCTATAGTAATCACATGTGTCGTTTTAGACAGTGCGCTGGTTGTTGCAACCGTAGGCTGCACAAAACACGGGCGTAGTTGCTCACCCTGCCTCGACTCCAGTTGTGTTTGGAAAGTGAGGAACACACTCAAGATGGCGGCGACACAGTTACACTCCATCGCCCAATGGCACGTCTACATATTCATGCCTATGTTGCAATCTGCCTCAGAGCTAACGTTGATCTCAGTAGCGGAGTCACCCACATCACCACATACAAGATCCTGCATATCGTGTGAGACTGTCAGTGTTATTTTACAGATTTGACCAAAATGGCTCCGACCCATTGAAGATGATCACAGTTTAAAACTCTGGAGGGCGATGTGCATCCCTTCAAGTAATGCTAGGCCTTTAATTTAATGGTGTAAAGAGTTTGTTTTGCTTTAGTGGGTTGTTAAGAATCACATTTCTCCACAGAATACGTGGAGTTGGCGCTCCAGTTCCAGTCTCGTTTTCAATAAGGTTTAGAGGATTTTCCAATTTTAGTTGGTTGGACGGTAACTTTCAGCAGGGCATCAGAACGATGATCAAACATTTTATGGAAAGAATTCAAGATGTTTTGTTATTTTGTAAGAATTTGTGGGGTGACCACATGTTCAAGCTTCTAATTCTGTCCAAAAGGTTTCAAATGTTAAAAATATCCAACGATGGATCAAATATTAGTGCGGATTAAATATTCAGCAACATATGTTTGATGATTTCTGTGACTGATGGTTTCTTGGCGCCACAATTAAACAAATCAACAAAGAAGGTGAAACTGAAAGTCTGCAGTGTTTCTGTTACTTTACAGCTGATGTGATGATCAGTAACAGCTGCAGACATGATGGACGCTCGTTTAAACTGGCTGTGGTCAAACATACACCAGAAGAAAAAATAAAAGAAAGAAACTTAAGTCACACAAGAATGCAACACAAAGAATGAATGTGTGTTTGGTGGTGGAGCGTGACTAATCCGTGTTTACAGACGAATCGAGTCCTGAATCCAAAATGAAAATATGTGGATGATTCTATAGATCACAAACAAATTAATTCACTCAAACTGACATTTACACACCTTGATTTTCAAAGAACTAATTTTCTGTGACTCAGTGATTAAAAATACATCTGTTGTCAAGGCGCTAGCTAGTGACTGGACGACCGCTCTGAGACAAAACAGTAAAATATTCATAAGTGTAATTTAAGACCTTTAAAAACAAGGCTTGAATTGGTTTTTGCATCAAACGCTGGGGTTTATTTTTATTTGTTGCCACTGAATTATTGTTCTTGGGCCCTTTTGTGCCTCCACTAAGATGAGTTGGTGTTAAAATTAAAGCGCAAACGACGAGTTGAATTTGACAAAATTTGGTGGAAAGTTGGATGACAAAGAAAGAAAGAACACATTAAATCTCACTGCAGTCTGGGATCAGTTTAGTAAAATAGCTGAATGCACTGGGGTGCTCGCAGCTTTCTGGTGTAGGCTACATGATGCTCGGCATAAACCAGATGTGGACAAACACCTGAATGTTGTTGCTCTGATCAGAGCACTAGCAGGTGCCATTAGGACGTTCAGACTGCTGGTTTAGATAAAAATGATAAAAACTAGAGGTGCTGAAAAAAAAAATCGATTCAAGTCTGAATCGGGATTCTTATTTATAAAGATTCAGAATCGATTCAAAGAACTCAAATATTTGGCGTGTTACAGGTTTGAGATGCACTTTTTTGATCTTTGTTAGGAGAGTCAGTACTCCGTTTACTTTTGTGGTCCCGTAAATTGAGATGATTTATGTTTGAATCTGCTGATAAGAGGGCACTTGAATGTCATTTTTTCCATACCCAGAAATTTGAGACATTCTCATATTTATTTTCTAAGTTGATAAATGAGTATTCAGGATTACTTGTGTAACTTGTTTCTACACATACTTGAAAAGTATTTGACCGTATTACTTTCAAAGCTACTGTTAGGTAACTACAGGTTTGTTATACTTTACAAGGTAAGGAAACATAAATGTTGCCTTTTGGTCAAAAGATTGCTTCTGTTTACAGTTTTAGAATCACTTTATTTTACATTGTAAATTTGTATTTTTGGAGCATGACCAGTTTAAAGTCAAATAAAATGTCCCATAGCTTTAACTAACTTGTACGACAAAGTAGTTAATCCTGGAGCTGACACTCTTTGTTCACATTGATTGTAAATCGATTTAAATTGAGAATCGATTCTGAATCGAATCGGCACCCAGAGAATCGGAATCGAATCAAATCGTGAGTTGCTCTGAGATTCACATCCCTACTAAAAACAATGAAAAGTTGGTGCGTTTTCTCACCTTCTTAAGGGAAACGGGTTTTGCCCTGCTGCCCTGGGAGGTGGCCGCGGCCGGCTGGAGGCTGGGACATCTGCAGACTTTGGTGCTTGAGACGGACAGCTTATTAGGATGGTTGCATTATTCGTTGCCTGATCATCAGTAATGTCAAAGGTCATGTTTGGATCCATGTTACTGGAGGAGGGAAGATGCTCAACATCTTTTTGAGCTGGTTCTGGTGTGTACTGAAGAGGGAACATGCTGTCCTCAAAGCCCTGGGACGTGGAGATGGTCTGTGGGCTCTGCTGGGGGAGCAACGCTAATAAATTCCTCCTGATGGGCATTCGGGGAGGTTTTTCTCCGGCCGTATGTAGCTGGGCTCCATCTAGATAATCAAGTACACAATACACACCTGTATTAAAATGACAACATAAAAATAAACAGTCACAAAGAGGGCACTTTTTAAGTTGTCAAGTGGAGCTATGCGGTCTCACAAAATCTTTTCTGCAAGAAGAACTTTGGCAAATTAGTACTGGAGATTTTTGTGGCCGAGTTCCATTCTTCCATGAGTTCAGCAACTTCCAGAACCAACATGTTAAAGATCGCTGTGGCGCTGTGGCTTGTCGTGTTTTTGTGAAGAACGCTAAAAAAATAACAGAGGACAAGGATCTGCCAATCAGTGTCCCCAACTTCAGTCACCAGCTGTGATTAATGACTGCGAGAATAAATTGTAATAAATAAGCTTCCCCTGCAGGGAGTCTGGCCTCACCCGTCAGCCAGTTTCTCACTGGGCTGCGACTGTTGGTGACAAATTGCAAACAGCATCTGTTAGGGTTCTCAGTGTGCTTGAGTGAGTCACAGGGTCTTGCATCACTGGATCGTCAAAATAATAATAATAATAATAAAAAAAAACAATGTTTTTCTGAAAATAAGAGTCTCGGTGCACATCTGGAACTCCTCATTTAGTTTCCTTGAACCAGAAATGTGACATGATTCGAACTGGGACCAGACTGCTTCATCAGGGTCAACTTCAGACAAAGTAAGACATAACAGACACTTTATGACTGAAACCTACCATGTTTCGCCACCACACGTGGCCCGATCACACAGAACAGTTTCCTCACAAGTGTCACACGTAAGGATTCACTACGATTCCTCTAACCAGTCCAGTCCCAGACACAAACTGGTTCTTTAGCCCATTGAAAAACAGACCTGGCTTTAATCTCATTTTATTTGTTGTTTTATTCAATTTTTTTCATGATTGTTGCTCATTTGTTTTATTGCGTTTCACTGTGAAGCATTTTGTGCAATATGAACTAAACACCTGGGACGTATACTTCCAACCTCAGAAGACAACATGACAGCACAGTCAGCAGCTGAATGTAGGGACGGCGATTATCTGCAAACCTGAGACCCAAACCTCACTCTGGTCTCAGACAAATAACTCAGAGCGTGGCGTTAAGCTACCTACTGTCACTGTGACGACCCCATCTTCTTCAGTACACTTAACTAGTTTCAGCTCTTAATCATGAACAAAAACACTACACAGGACTAAAGTAAAGTCACTTATCTGGCATCTGTACCAAGAGCTGGAGCTCCATAGAGCTCAACCGATCTGATGTAAAATGTCACAAAGCAGAGCAAGGAGAACTTTTCTTTTATGTGGTACCATCGTAGGATCACGGATGTCTGCTGCCCCGTCTGCATCTAGAAACTTAAACGTTAGGATTTCAGAACAGAGCAGTGACATGCATTATCCCCAACATGGACTGGATTTTAAAAATAGACCAGAAAGCAGGGCATTTACAGCCTAGGAGCTTTTTAAGGTTAACTATATAACTCTAAAGTCCGGAATTTGCACTTTTAAAAAGGATAACACATCCCAAATCTACAGCCCTTTAAAAATGTTGAAAGCTGACATTTAAGTTCATATGAAATCTGAGCTCAATTTCAGGCAAAACAACAATAAATCCTCCCTTCAAACAAATGACACCGTTTATTTTGGCCACACTTTAGGTTTAACATGACATTTAGTCTTTAGGAATATTGTCGAGGGCAACTTAAAAGTAACGGCTAGTAAAAGTTGTCCAGGCTGCAGAGCAGAGGCAGGTTAAATCACTGCGTCTGCATCACATTAGGTGCACTATTAGACTCGTGGCATTTCCTGCAGAGGTGTGGCGGGGGTTAGAGAGGAGACTAAAAAAAGGAAAAATACCAGCACATAAAGGAAGTGCAAACACAAAATGCAAAGGTGAATGACTGATTTGTACATTTCCTCAAATATCAAATGCAATATTTAGCAAGTGTGAGTCACACTGGAGACAGAAAGCAGTGATAAATAGCCCCTTTCTGTGGCAGAGGAGATGTCCCGGGCAATAAATGGCAGCAGAGTTCCTTCAATCACATATTTTTGGCTAGTGGGGGATTAATACATGCATGAGTTGCTATTTCTGGTGGAAGCTGCACTGAATTAGGGTCGCCTGGTTGCTGCTGCCTGTTTTTTTATAGCGCGCTTTTTCTGGTTGGTGGAGCAGGGGAGTTTACGTCTGTTGACGTTTTTTCCTGCCCTGCTGTGGATCTGCATTTTCATGAATGAAGCTCAGGAGGGATTGGGAGGGTTGGAAGCTAGACAGTCACAGGAAAAACATTTGAGGGAAAAACGGAAGAGAGATGTCGAGAGAAAAGAAAATATGAAAACATTTGTAGCAAAATGGCAACGCAAGTCTGAGTAGAGAACGAAAGGAGGAGGAGGTGGAATAAATGTCAGAAATAGATCAAAGGAAAAAAATTCTTCCAAGTGTTTCTGGGAAGATGAATGAAAAAACAAAGATGATAAAAAGAAAATGACCACTTGTATAAAGCACAGAGATCATATTCATGAAATCTGCTTTCATGACGCAGCCCAGAAAGAGTTAACATTTCTCTGAAACCACAAAGCTCAGTAAAGCCCCTGACATGTGATTGGCTCCACAGGCTGCAGGGTGGAGCCACATCTTATAACATGCTGCAGTGGCTACCATTAAGAGCTGAGGAAGCAGGGAGGCTATGACAAACAGCATCAGGGCAAGATCAGAGCAGAGCGTCTGAATGCTAAATAAATGTCTCACAACAACCAGCATGGAAGACCGCGGCACTAAAATCATGATAAACGTGGTCGTTTTTAAAGCTCCATGAAGGTTTTCTGTGGTAAAACTTAAAAGAAGTGATCCAAAATGGAAGTTTGCCTGTTTGTTACAAATGCCTTAACATTTAGGTATCAGAAACGTTCTGCTTGAGAACGTTGACCCGTAACACCGCAAAAGAAGCCCGCAGAGGTATGGTCATTTATTTATAAGTAACTACGCAGCTTTCTGTGTGATCAGAAACATTTCTTCCAACTAGTAAAACAAACAAAAAGTCAAATGCAGAACTGGAAAAGTCCCAGTAGTTCAGGTGGTACAGCCCAGTTAATGTACATGCATCAACTACAAAAACACCTAGTTAGTATTTCTCTCCAGCCCCTGACTTTTGTTTTACAAAACCTAAAGAAAAGGTGGATTGCCAACTCCAGGTCAGGGAAGAGGTTCTAGCTCATGTGGAGGAGTTTGGGTATCGTACGAGTGTCCACCCCAGGACTGGGAGATGTGGGTTAAGTGTCCTACCCAAGGAACCCTCCTCGCCTGCTGCTGGTGGTCGGAGGGACATGAAGCGCCTGTGCTCAGCAGCCTCGCCTCAGTGCGCCCCAGGGCAGCTGTGGCTACAATGTAGCTCATCACTACCAGGGTGTGATTGTGTGTGTGAATGGATGAATGATGGTGTAAAGCACTTTGGAGTCTTCTGACACTGAAAGGCGCTATACAAGTGCAGGTCATTTATCATTAATCATACCAAAGTCTTACCCAATGTCTCCACATGCGACGCTCAGCTTTAAGGCGTTGGATTGGGGGATTAAACCACCAGATAACTCCTGAGCGCAGACACGGCTGCAGCTCACCGCTCCCTACGGGGATGGGTCAACCATGGAGGTGCAGTTTCACCAATGTGTGATGACTAATGGGATTTTAGGGTGAGGAATGGCTGGCTGGTCCAGGCTAGGGCTGAACGAGTCTGGAAATTAATCGAATTGCGATTTTTTTCCTTTAATATTGCAATTGCGATTTAATTCACAATTATTTTCTCAAGGGGCTTTTCTCATATTTTTCAACTAACGGAAGCAAAAAATAATAATCTATGTAACTTGTGTTGAATATAAACAAGTTTATGCATCTACATATCATATCAACAAGTTTATTTGTCTACACATACATAAACACAAGACAAAATTTTGTATTTGAAGGTGCAACGCTTTGCAGCCAGCAGCACATCCCTTGAAGAAGCATAGGTATTAGCACCAACTGAAAATTTATCTGCAGGAAAGAATTATGTCCCGTTTATTGGTCTTTTGTGTTTAGTTTTTGACGTCGTGTCCATGCAGAGCTTCTGTAGTTCAGTTACATTCATAGCTGCTAGCCAAAACTCTGTGGAGTTAAAGTCTCTTACAGTTTTCTAGCTTTACTAAAATATCTGTCTGTGCTTATTTGATTGATGGCAGTTTTTATATGTTATTAGACTCCAAATGTAATCATTTGGCACGTTCCTAATTCGTAATTTGTAAGAATGTAATCAGTGATTATGGCATTAGCATCCCTATGGGTTTTTCCATGTATATTAGCATTGTGCTAACCACTCGTTGCCAGTAAAATCACAGCCTTTGCGATTAGAAAATCTTTTGTCACATCACAATTTAATTGCATATGCAATTAATCGTTCAGCCCTAGTTGAGGCAGCGTCTTTAGTGATGAGGATGCTGAACCAGGAAGATGGAGCTAATCTGGGAAATGAAGTTTTGGATTTACATCTCCATCCATGCTTAATTCAAATATCATTTATTAACATCATTTATTAACCCCCAATAGCTGCAGCCAATTAATATTTTTGTAATCGAGTACTCTATCGAATCTTTTATCGATTACTCTAGTTACCATTTTGTGTTTGTAAACCATTATTTCAAATAGCATGTTATAAAATATGAAAGACCTCTTAAAATGAACAGGCAATTGCCAGTTATTCTTCAAGTTTTATTCAAAATGAGTTTTCAAAACTTCAGCACTTCAACTTTACTTCACAGTAAACAAATGCCCGCGCAAAAAATAAGATACAACCTGAGCCGATGTTCCCCTCGCACGAGAATCAAACAGCACCAGAACCGCTCACGGCGCATGCGCAAACATGGCTCGCCAGCTATTTCCCTATTAACACACGTCCGTTTTAATTTCTACACTTTCTTTTGTCACACAATAACGAGGACTGTCGAGAAAGCATGTTTGCCGTGGTTATGTCAAATTATACTGATCACACAACATTTTTTTACTTTTTCGTTTTCCTCTCATAAATACCTGTGTACTGTCCTCCTGCAGCAATCCCGAGGGACAACAGACATCAATAACAACACAATAAAAAGTGTCGTGTTGTGTAAAAATGCTATTTTTAGCACATTTTTAGGTCCGACGTGTTACTACCAGACGCACGGCGTGAGCTGAAACCGAGTGCTACAAATGAAAAAGTCGCACAGTGTCCGCAGAATATATAGCGGACCTTCGAGTCCGCTTGCAGAAGTGGCATTTACATGTGGATGTTTCCTGGTCAGGTGCTGCAGCATGGAGGATGTGGTGTTGTGGTACGCTAAATCCATTTTACATCATTTACACTGGACTACGTTTTCCGCCTTGCGATGTGAAAAATGGCCCCACACCTTTGACATTTTCCGTCTTTCGCACTCCATCGGGGTCCACGTTGTCTGGCATGGCTTAAGAGAAAGTTAAGTTATATTCGCTACTCGCGTGTGCGTTCAGTGCAGTGTGTATGTGCGTCACTTATTTCAGTCCGGGTGAAACATGACCCTGGGAGCTTCCAGAGCCATGAATTAATTAAACATGAATTAAACGAAGCCTCGAGTCAGAGAATTTGACTCGAGGATTTTTTTACTCGAATCACTCGAGGAATCGTTTCAGCCCCGTCTGTAACTTAAGTTTCTTTAAAGGTACGGTTGACTGAAAAACCATTTTTTAAAGAGCAAGTCACCCCCAAATCAAAATTTTTTTGTTGATAAACTATATAAAGGAGTGTCTAATCATGCTACAGACACGTGTAGTCAATAATTTGGCAGTTCAGTGCATCTTGGTTAAAATTCAAATATTCTGTCTAAAACTGTCAGTGTTACGCCGTCGTCAGGAAAAAATTGTGTACTGTATTTGAATTTAAATCTCCCACCGCTATTGGCTAAGAGGTATGCTATGATGTCATCTGATACATTATGATGTCATAATGCCATTGTGAGCCTGTGTGTGTGTGTATTTGTTAGCGGCTCCGCCCTCTTGGTCTGCCAAGCAACAGCATTTGTTGCATTTTTCAAACATGAAGTGGGAGTGAAGTAAGTTTCTTGTAGGGGGTGACTTGCTCTTTAATGATCATTTCTGATTCTTATCGGTCACCCAGAGTTTTTTTCCATGCAGGCTGAACATAAACAGTCTTCTACGCTTACCTCCTGCTTTAGCTTCTGATAGAAAATAGACAGTGAAATGTTAGGATTTCAAAATCCTCACATTGTGATGTCACATTGTGAATTTGCATTCATAGCCTTGCCCATCTTAGCTTGTGCCTACCCACAGGAAGACTTAAAAAATGTTTTGTTTTTGCAGCAAAGAAAGCGGCAAGTGTGTTGGTGGTAGTAACTTTACAACATGGCTGAATGCATTCGGTTAGCCAATCAAAAGCGAGGTGTGTGAATATCATTAATATTAATGAGTAATCCTGCTGTTTTCAGCCCACCTCTGCACCAGAAAACTTCTGCATCTCGGAACAGGAACATCATAGCGATTTTTTTAACGACTCAAAGCATTGACTTACAATAGAGAACACTGTAAAAGTATAGAATAAATGAGTAAACCACACCTTTAAAGCACCTCTAATCTGTGGTCATGATTTTCCAACCACAGAGCTGCTGCTCCTCTACAATGGTAAATGGCCGGTATTTGACAGTGCATTCTAGAGTCCTGGAACCCCCAAAGGCACTTTACAAAAGAAAAAGTAATTCAGCCATTCACACACTGGTGGGGATGAGCTACGATGTAGCCACAGCTGCCCTGGGGCGCACTGACAGATGCGAGACTGCCGAGCACTGGCGCCAACGGTCCCTCCGACCACCACCAGCAGGCAAGGGGGTTAAGTGTCTTGCCCAAGAACACGACAACAGTGACAAACTGAAAGGGGCTCAAACCTGCAACCTTCCGTTTACGGGGTGAGCACTTAACTCCTGTTCCGCCGTCACCCAAGTCACTCTGCAATGAAAGGAGCCAGTTTAGGTGGTTCAAGAATTTGGTCATGACGCCTCCTGGAGTAAAGAGTTTTAGGCATGCCCTTCCAAAAGTCCTCAAGGATGCGTTGGGCGAATCATATCTTGAGGCTGGTCAGGGAATATCTTTGGGTCTCACTGGAGGAGCTGAGGGGAGTGGACTGAAGAAAGGACAGTCTGAACGCCCTTTCTGGGGACGCTCCTGGGACCCGGAGGAAGCAGGAGAAGATGAAACAAGATCGATTTTACAATGAGGCTTCAGCTCTAAACATGGCTGACCTTTAATCCAGCACTGCTGGGAAAACAAAAGCACTGAAAAAGGAAGCAAGACTCACAATGAAAACCAAGTAATTCAATCAAAAGACCGGTAGCTCCGCCAGGGGCAGATGTGTTCCTCAAAACCCCAAACGAACGAGCGATAAGACCCATTTTCTACAGCATCTTGAACAAATTGTTCCGTTGCTCAGAATCATTCCGAGTTTGAGTGAAATACCGTCGGACGCCTAACGAAGGCTGATGCTGGCCTGTCTATCACTCAGTATTTACAGGCATCGACAGTCATCAAAAGGACTAAAGTACAATAATAAATAAAAAAAAAAACTATACACGAGCCATTGGACAAGACAACAAAAGACCATTAAGACAAACCATACAGATGAGCGTTTTTCTTTTGGTTTTTAAAACTTTCGGCTCGATTAAAGTTCAAATATTCCACCAAGTTGCCGACAAATTTAATAGCAGTTGTGACAAACTCCCTGGGGGCGTTTATATTTCATTTCCATTCAAGGAACTCCGGTCACCGAGCAGAAGAATTTTCGTCTCATGTTTCATTTCCCACAATACGATCCAATAAAATGCAGACCAAGTGCAGTAAATATCATTACAGCCAATTCAAATGGCCGTATTTCACATATGTTTTTGGTATTATACTTCCCCAAAGGTTCTCCGCGTGCTGAGCTCTCTGTAGAGAATTGCTTGTGAGTGCTCGCTTCGTTTCATCGTCGACGTTTTTGGCCAGAACAGAATGTCTGCAGCACCACCATAAATCAAATTAAATCACTTGTATGATTTTCTTTCTCTGCGTGGGTTTTTAATACTCTAGGCAACTTCTTTAGATCAAAAAACAAAAATCAATGCAGAGTGACTCTTTAGGCTTGGTCACCATCTTTTGGAATGGAAATGCTATTTAAAAACCAATTCAACCCACTTTATGGTCAGAGAGTTGTTTCTATAAAAGGCTGAACTTTTTATTGTATTTTTGTCTAAACGTGAAGAGGTGAGTGAAAGGGGCAAGTGGGAGGGGTGAGTTATGGGTGAGCAGGTGTTTTGCATTAATAACCACAGTGTGTTTGTAGGACGGTGTGTGTGTGTTACCTGTACGTGAGGGAGCAGCGGTGCACTGCGACATCCTTTTAGAGAGGCTCTCTGCACCTGAGAATGAGAAACACACTGACTCACAATTAGGCTGAAAACAAGTTAAAATGAGCCGTAAACATTGTGCAGGTCACAATCAATTTGACTTTTGATATTAAAGAAAATAAATAAAAAACAAAGCACGTTGAACTAAATGCTGCAGAAATGTCAAAGCTTTTTTACAAAAAGAAACCATCTCTGAAGACCAAATCAGCTCTGGGCGTTTTGATTCAAGAACAAACACGTTATCTCTTAAATATTAGATCACGACAAACAGCTGAGCACAGACTAATATCCGCATACATATGTCATGTAATTCCTTTTAGTTATACGACGTCTAATTTTTTATTAAAAGTCAACAAAAAGCACGTTCAGATAAAACAAGCAAACAGCGACGCAGAGGGACAGGTGCAGGCTTTACTCCCTGACAAACAGACACTATCATCATCAACACTGTTGGCCAACTTCAGTTTACGCTCCACTGTGTGTCAAAGCTCATACGTCACGAGGGTCTGGTGCTGCTAGGTCGAGCAGAGATGACAGTTAAAAATGAAACATGCGGTCTCAGGGCTCCCGCAAAACACACCAGACCTGGACGGACGCCCAACACACTCGCTGGGCGCTGCTTCAGCCATCTCACAGGACAGCCCACTTTCATATTTAAAGCCATCGTAAAACTTACAGGTGCTGGCCAGTAAATTAGAATATCATCAAAAGGTTGAAAATATTTCAGTAATTCCATTCAAAACGTGAAACTTGTACATTATATTCATGCAATGCACACAGACCAATGTATTTCCAATGTTCATTACATTTAAATTTGATATTTATAAGTGACAACTAATGAAAACTCCAAATTTGGTATCTCAAAAAATTAGAATATTCTGAAAAGGCTGAATATAGAAGACACCTGCTGCCACTCTAATCAGCTGATTTACTCAAAACACCTGCAAAGGCCTTTAAAAGGTCCCTCAGTCTTGTTTTGAAGGCACCACAATCATGGGGAAGACTTCTGACTTAACAGCTGTCCAAAAGACAATCATTGACACCTTGCACAAGGAGGGCAAGACACAAAAGGTGATTGCTAAAGAAGCTGGCTGTTCGCAGAGCTCTGTGTCCAAGCACATTAACAGACAGGCGAAGGGACGGAAAAAATGTGGTAGAAAAAAAGTGTACAAGCTCTAGGGATAACCGCACCCTGCAGAGAATTGTGACGACAAACCCATTCAAAAATGTGGGGGAGATCCACAAAGAGTGGACTGCAGCTGGAGTCAGCGCTTCAAGAACCACCACGAGGAGACTCATGAAAGACATGGGATTCAGGTGTCGCATTCCGTGTGTCAAGCCACTCTTGAACAAGAAACAGCGCAAGAAGCGTCTCGCCTGGGCCAAGGACAAAAAGGACTGGACTGATGCTGAGTGGTCCAAAGTTATGTTTTCTGATGAAAGCAAGTTCTGCATTTCCTTTGGAAATCAAGGACCCAGAGTCTGGAGGAAGAGCGGAGAAGCACAGAATCCACGTTGCATGAGGTCCAGTGTAAAGTTTCCACCGTCAGTGATGGTGTGGGGTGCCATGTCATCTGCCGGTGTTGGCCCACTCTGTTTCCTGAGGTCCAGGGTCAATGCAGCCGTCTACCAGGAAGTTTTAGAGCACTTCATGCTTCCTGCTGCTGACCAACTTTATGGGGATGCAGACTTCACCTTTCAACAGGACTTGGCACCTGCACACAGTGCCAAAACCACCAGCACCTGGTTCAAGGACCATGGTATCCCTGTCCTTGATTGGCCAGCAAACTCGCCTGACCTTAACCCCATAGAAAATCTATGGGGTATTGTGAAGCGGAGGATGCAATACGCTAGACCCAACAATGCAGAGGAGCTGAAGACGACTATCAGAGCAACCTGGGCTCTCATAACACCTGAGCAGTGCCACAGACTGATCGAGTCCATGCCACGCCGCATTACTGCAGTTATTGAGGCAAAAGGAGCCCCGACTAAGTATTGAGTGCTATACATGCACATTCTTTTCATGTTCATTCTTTTCAGTTGGCCAACATTAGAGAAACAAACATTTTTTCATTGGCCTTTAGAATATTCTAATTGTCTGAGATACCAGATTTGATGTTTTCATTGGTTGTCACCTATAAATATCAAAATTAAACGTAATAAACATCGGAAATACATTGGTCTGTGTGCATTGCATGAATATAATGTACAAGTTTCACGTTTTGAATGGAATTACTGAAATATTTTCAACCTTTTGATGATATTCTAATTTACTGGCCAGCACCTGTACATCCATGCGTCGTGTGAATTTTTCATGTTTGTCTGAAATCATTCAGTGCTGGAGACGGTCCTTTGTGACAAAAGCAGCACGCAGAAACAAGAGCAGAGCAGAACCTGTGTCCGCTGTTCAAATGTATTGCGATGAATAATACAAGTGAACCTAAAGCACTACTTATGAATTACACTGACAGGTGAGCTGAGTGTGCTCATGCTACCTGCAGGAGTTGGGACTGCAACGCCTTTGTTGTGTCTCGCTGATGTCAGACTCAGTTTTCGGGGGTGGGGCTGCATGTCTGAGCTTGCAGCAAGGGCTACACTAACGTCCCTTCAAAACACACAAGGTTCCCACAACCAACACCCCTTTTAATCCCTCGACTCTGCTCACGGCGGTGAGCCATGATGAGGGTCTTCTCTTGTAGCAGCCAAAAGCGTGAAAAAGGGCAATTGTCATCTGGTTCTGATGGAAAACTGGCAACAGCAGTGCAGCAAACACGAGGAACCAATCTTTGCAACGTGTGCGTTCTCTTTTCCACAGCTAATTATCAGTAACAAGGTTTGTTTAGCAGAGTTCCTGCACAACTTTCAGCTCAGGATTCCAAGGCTAAACATTTCAGGAATTTTATTTGATTTCCACCTTATTTTTGAGGTTCATGTACAAATTTTAAAACAAATTGTTACTTTTCTCCCTTTAAATCTGCTTTAAACACACAGAAACGGGGAGGGGGAAACCATTAACGGATTATTTACTTACATGTCAGATAAGCTTAATAAAATTTCTGCTCCTTTAAAAAGTTAGCTTACCGTGTGTTTGACAATCACGCGTCACCGACAGGCGAGGTGCTGCCTTAGGCAGGGCGTAGGGTTGACGACTTTCCCAAAGACAAGTGGACATATGGAGGAGAGCTACAAACTATCATCTAGAAAAGTCCTTCACTGTGAATCTGTCTAATCGTAACTCAAAACCTAAAATACCGAGGAGCTCAAATGTTAAACGGATGGTTTGATGTGTGTGTGTGTGTGTGTGTGTGTGTGTGTGTGTAGGGGCAATCACAAGGTGGCATTCTGTCCATCTATCAATTTACAACCTTCCTGATTTCTCTTCTCCACCACATTATAAACATGTCTCTGCCCTTCCAAGACTACAAAGGAACCCTGTAGTTTATTAGCTGGCAGCTAATGTAACAGAGCACGTCTGCTTCAGAGCGCAAAGTCTAACATGCACTATCCCAAAGATTTTATCCTTTTCTTCAGAATCACTTTCTGATTCAACCAAGCGCTGCTGAATTAGATCATACATGAGCTGGGTCAAAGGTCAGAAGCTGCTGTTAGGCGAGCAGCAGGAAACTATTTGCATACTCACAGGACAGAGAAATGAAACTCAAGAGGAGCACTACAGCGGTTGTTTAGAATAGAATGCCTTTATTGTCACTATACAGACGTAAAGTAGATACAGAGCGTCTCCTACTCAGTGTAAAAAACATAGGGGGGGGGGGGGGGGGCTACAGTTCTGCAGCGCTATATACATATGGACAGAATGTCATGCGTCTGTGATATTGACTACGTTTACATGCAGCCAATATCCGGGTTATGATCGGGTTAAGGTCGGGATTCGGGTTTCTGAGTTGATCAGAATAACCCGTTTACAAGCATAAATAGAAAGAGTTACCTCTAACTTGCATAACCCGATTTAAATGCGGACGCTGGGGTAGCGTCAGGACGTATGGACTACGTCCAGACGCAATATGCGTCATTTCCGGTTCTTCTTGCTCCGGTGTCCGTGAAAACAACATGTTTCTCAGTTCGGAAGAGATAGCGACCGCGTTTGTTTGCCCTTTAGTTTCCTCGTCACTCCGAAAGTGTGGTGCTGTGCCGCGACTCGCCATTTTGCTCCCAACTTGTTGTTTACTTCCGGAGTTCTGGCGCATACAAGACGTCTCGCTACTCAAAAGACCAAGATTCCTTGCGAACAGAGCATGCGCAGAACACACGCTTTGATGGGGATATCCCGATATGCGTTTACACGACCAAACATTCGGGTTAGAAAAGGGTTACCCCAGGTGTATTAACCGGGTTTTTAAAACCCGGTTACGAGCATATCCGGATTTTTGGCGGTGTTTATGGACCCGCGGAACCGGGTTATTGTGAATATTCGGGTTTTAAAAGGGTTACTGGCTGCATGTAAACGCACTGATTGTGTGTCCTGTCACTGTGACCCAATTGATGATGCGTCCTGGCTACTTGGACAGGGGAGATCTCCGTTTGGCTGACTGGTTAGCGTGCGTGACTCTCACCCGGGAGTCTGAGGATCGAATCCCGATCGGACCATTATTTTATATCCGCCACAGATCTCTCTGAAGAATTCACAACATTGACGGGTTCAGCAAGGCTGTGCCACTCCGTGCATTTTCTCTTATTTGTTTTGCAAAAGCACTTCCTTTCATTTCTCCACCTCACCCACAGGTACCTCAACTTCTGCTTGTGAAATTGAGCTTCCTTGATCTGCCTTGATCTACGGTCGCCATGTCATTGGCAGAGCTCTGCAAAAGCCGGCTTATATATATGCATGAGATCCACAAGGCACTTTGCATTGACTATTTATGGCAGTAAGTGGGCGTGGTGAGGGCAGGATGTGACTAAAATACAGCAGAGAAACACTCTCGTTAGTCTCTGATTTATGAAGCGGAGATTGCGTGCAGCTCTGCATACTCCATGTTTGATACATCACAAACCTACTTGGCGTGAGTAAGTATTTTTTGCTGAGCTTAAGTATGGTTTTAGTAAGGATTCTATGCAATGTTTGATAAATGAGACCCCTGGTCCTTAAGAGATGCCATCTCTGGGTGATTAAAAGGCTTCTACAGAAACCGGGACAGACTGAACAGTGAATTGAACCTTTATTTAAGGTGTACTGGAGCAGGAACCCGAGTAGAACTGTGGCCTTTAAGGACCGAAACCCATGTTTATTGTTTTCTTGTGAATTCATTAGGAGCCCAGCAGAAAGGAAACACTTTATGTCATAAAATCTACCCAAACTGCTGATGGATGTGAATGTTCAGAATTTGGCCCAAGTCTGTGTGGATGCTGAATAAACAGCAGGAGGTGGAGAGAAAAAAACCAAAGATGATAACTTACTGCAGGGGCTACTCCGGTGGTATTGCAGGTATGAGAAGGATAGGATGGGTGCCAGCTCGCTGTGGAGCCCAATTTTTCCTGCCTCATTTTTCTCCTGTGAGTTCACCACTATCTCCTGGCCTTTCAGCTGCTGCCCCGCCCCTTCCTGATCGGCCCACACCACGCCTCTCTCCCTCAGCACCAGGTGCTCCAGTTCTTGGTTTTCCATCTCATTCGCCGCCGTAGCCAAACCAGCCCCAAGCAGCGTCGAGTAGTGCCGACTATAAGCAGGCAACAAGATGTTCACCATCCTAAAACGAAACGTTAGGAGTGAGCTGAAGTGTGCACACTTCTAGAGTTAACCTAGAGAACTTAATGGTGAACCAACTTCTGCATGCGTTTGTTCTCCTGGTCCTGCAGCGTAGTGAGCTCGATCATCTGCTTGATGTGCTGCTTGAGATCGTTTACCTGCAGCTCTAGTCTGTGACAGTACAGGCTCTTTTCTAACACCTGAGAGAAGAAAAGAGGGGTGACGAGACAAAGCTCTCAAACACAACGGAGCACTTAGCGAACACTAATCAGCAGAGCAGAAGATAAAAGTTACTTAGGGATTAGTATACTAGGGAAGGACAAAAAGTTCAGCGTTCATTCGTGTTTCATCAAAAACAGACTGCTCAAGGTACAAAGGAGAGGAAAAAGAAAGAATTGTGACGCGAAGAAACTATGAAACAACAGCAGAGAGAACATTTGACTTGTGGGTGCGTCATAGTTCTGGGTCAGTTCCTAGAAGAAAGGACAGAAAAGAAAAAATAACATGGACATGGTTTTAGGTAACTGGCTGCTGTGTGAAGGATGAGCAAAGGCTATTGATTTATTCTCCTCGGTGATCCACGAGTAAGCTGGAGAAATAAAATGAGCATGCTTCTAATTACTGAGGGAACAGATGGGAAGAAAACAAAGGCGGTCACGATGCCAGTTAAGACTCAGTCTACCTTCCAACATAAACAAACAAAAAACAGCAAGAAAGGAGTTTTTGACAAATGTGACCCACAATGTGAAGTTCTGTTGGACCATCTAATCACGTGCATGCCCACAGTGATGGGTTATGTAGTTAGCACTCATCAGTAAGTCTTGGATTTCATATAAACCATAATCTATAGAAGCAACAATATCCTTATTAGAATAGAAAACATCAGGGGTTACGCCACAAGAGCAGAAGCAAAACGTGTGAAGTTTCCCTTACCTCTGAGGTCTGATCATTCGACCTCAGCAACTTAATCTCGTTTTCAACGCGATGAAGCAAACCGTCATTTTCCAGGAAACGTGTCTCTGTCTCCTTCAGACGTTTGCTGATGTGTTGCTGCTGAGTCCGTAAGCTGGCAATCTTCCGCTCATGCTTACAAGTGGCCTGTTAGCAAAAAGCAACAGCAGAAGGTAAACGAAGCAACATGACCAACGGTCAGCGTGTGAGCAGAGCAGTCACAGCTGCAAAACTGTTTATTTAGGAGCAAATGCTCGTTTGTTTAAATAAAAGTTAGAATTGCAACAAAAAAGTTGTTTTTCCCCTTTTTGTTTGTTTTGTAGGACTTTTCTGCAAAGTTTGGAATCAAAAATTCACCATTATGTCAAGTGGTTTGTACAGCTGGGGCTACAGCAGATATCCAAACTGCACAGAAAAGCCAGAACCGGGTGAAAATGGACCGTTTCCCTGTAGTGCTGTAAATAGAGAACTGAGAAAAAAGACGAGTGAAGTGAAGACTCAGCAGCTTTTTTCCCTGCAGGGACGATGGAATCTGAAAAGACCATGCGGAGTATGGATCAGCTAGCTACCTTCTCAGTCTTCTCTTTGGCACAGAAATATTGGACCAGCAGGAAGTCCTCCTCGCTGTAGCGCTGGCGCAGCTCATTCGCCTTCAGTTGCCTCTCCAGATCCAGCTGCTCACACCTGATTTGTCCACGGCTTGAGAAGATGCTCTGCACCGCCTCAGACACTCTAGAAGGATGAGATTTATTTAAACCAGAAGCGTTGCTATGTCAAACTTAACAAATGCGTTATAACAAAAGAAAAACAATTACGATTTTCCAACTGAACAGGCGTGATCCTGTGTAAACATTAGAATTTCCATCTGACCCACCATAAAAAGCTTTTTGAACAACCTCTGTTCAGATAAATAGAGTTTACGTTTATTAAATAAAACGTGCTGACAGTCCATTCAGATTGTACTGATAAGCAATAGATGGCATACCCAAATGAACAAGACATCAAAGCAGAATGCTACCATCTTAAAACAACTTCAGCCTTTTAATGTCTTAGTGGTTCAGTCAAAAATGTAAAACCTTTTAGGCCACAGCTATTATTTTGCCAGAAATGTTGAGAAAGCATTCCCTGGGTGCTCAGGAACCGCCATGTTTAGCTGCTGCAGATGAGACTTATTAACGGGAATGTCAATTACGTAAAATTGACAGCATAATAAAAATCTTTAGAATTTAATTTTTTGTAGTAACGGTTACATTTTGGAGTGGAGCTTTGACAACAAGACACTATGGTCCAGGCTCTGCTCGACGTAGCAGTTAGCTCATTAATCCAAACAAAGGTAAACTTTCTCTGCACAGGAAGCCAATTAACATGACAAACCTTTAATTTTTACACAGAAACACACTTCTAAAATAATCCTTTAAAGTTTAAACGTTCATATCATGCAATTTTAAATCTTTAACAAAGGTAGGCACAATAGATGATAAAATAAGAGTTATTTTTATCAGCCTGAATTTACACCCAGAAATAAAAGGTTCGACTCAGTGAAACTCCACTCACAGCTGCACCTACAAGAGCATCTTCGGCCAGGCTGCTGCTGTTGTATGGGCCTGGTGGTCCACTGGTCACGTGACTGCCTTTCATCTCGTTTTGCCATTCAGTGACGCGAGTTTGACTCCCCGTGGCGTCGGCAGTAATTTATTTAGCTAGCTGAAGCAGATTTAATCTTTTTTCTATTTTAGTTTTGATAATTTTCTGCTAAATATTTTGTCTCTAAAGATCTCTGAATTTGGTAATTACCAAGCAGCACTGATTTACTCTGCTCACCTCACATGGACTCACTGTGGCTGAGTAAACAGAAAGAAAAAAAGAAAAGATTAGCCCTCATATTTTAAACGGTTTACCAATAAAGGGTTGAAAGCATAATACTCGCTCATGTAGCAAAAAATAAATAAAAATAAAGTCCCTGCTGAGACCGAGAGGTGAACCTACACTAAACTAACCACTGGAATACCCAGTCGGTTACAAAACAGTAGTCGCCTAACACACATATCCTGTGCTGGCCATTACGTGTGTCTGTAGACAGGATGCACGGTTTTTATGGCAGTGCTTTGTCCCAGATGCAGAAGTAATTTGTCAGAATATCCAGGTTTCAGGACTGAGGCCACCAGCTTCAGGGAGAGGATAAATGCCTGATGACGCAAGTAGTTTTCATTCGGGAGTTTTCAAAGTAAAACTCTACATTTGCAGCTGATACAGGAAAACGCATGAATGTAGCCAAAAACAGGTTTGGGGGTTGGTATCATGAGGAAAAAACATCATGTGGTAAAAAGGATTCTCCATTACATGGCTGCTTTAAATTGTTGAAAACCTAGAGCTGATTGCAAACATTTTATTTATTTGTTTGTTGAAGCAGTTTAGAAGAGATGCTACTCTACAGCACGTGTTAAAACTTTTGACACCGTCGAGCCCAGCTCTTTCCTCTGGGAGAAATTAATTCTACTTTACACTTTTATGAGTCAACAGCAGCCTTGTTTCAGACTACATTATGCAGTGTACTTAAAGATGCGCTCACTCAGTAGGACAAAGTGAGACGGGAAATTAAAACCACCTCTAATTCGCCTCCCATCAATGACAAAGTCAAAGCGTGCAACTTCTCCTTCGTCTGGACCTTTCGTGACAAGTCACTTCAGTGACATTCTTATATTCTACGTACACGTGTATTTCTGGAAAAAAGTCGAGGTGGCGCGCCAATTGAGTGCAAGCGGCTGTCTAGTTGAGTAAAGACAGCAGACGAGCCAGGAGAGGAATGCAGGTAAATAAGGCTGCAGAGCTGTCGCTGAAATGTGACTGCACTCTTCAATGTACCTCTAGTGACGTAGGAGACGCCGTGGCCTTGCTAGACTGTTGAATTTTTAATAGCGTGAGAAGCGTGCAGCCTCTATTCAGAGCCTCTGTGCGAGTTGTGAATTCTGATGCCAGTGAATGAAGTGTGTGGGGGAGAGAGACTCATTCAGCTTTCCCCCCACCCCCACCCAAATACCACGACAGATGCCACTTCATGCCTCAAAGACGATGAGATAAGACGTGGCTGGTCTGATTTAAGTAATATAAATTAATGCGCATCATTTGTACTATAAATAAACAGGATTAAAAACTGAACAGTCATTCATTTCCTACTGTATAATCATGGCAAACAGGAAATGAAAACGGGCTACGCCAAATGAAATTGGACTTTCTTTTTAAAATGTCGGATGCAACAGTTTTCAATCCTGATCCTGTGGCCTCAAAACACAGCTGCCTCTAATCCGACAGGTAAGACCCCCCCACCAAAACAAGAACACAGGAAGCTAAGACGCTCAGAAACACGTAGCATTTTCTAACAGGAAGAGTAGCTTTGCTTGTAAACAGAAGAATTTTCATAATTTAAAAATACCAACTGTTGTAGTTTTACCTTTTAGTTGTATGTTTGTATTTTGAGTCTTTATGGTCAAAAATCTTTACAAAGTAATAAATTATCCAAATGTTTTACATTCATCACATCAGCTTTTGCCCTTAAAACGTTGGAAAAGCAGCACAGTTAGCATGTTCTCAGTCTTCAGCCTAAATAAAAGGTGAATCAGTTAAAGACAGACACGTGTGTGCTTTTCTGAATCGATGGCCCTTGTTAGACACACAAGAGCAGGATGAGAACAAAACGGTCCTTTTTCCAGGAACACACAGATTTGAAAGAATTTTAACAGTTTCATGGTACTCACAAGAAAACAAACAAATCACTCAAAAATGAAAAAGCTTGTGTCAGAAAATACTAGATCTGTGGCATGTTCCTAAGTGAGTAATAATTATACCTTCATTTACTTGGAAACAAAGCTGCTGTAAGACCATTAAAGGGGTGGGACACTCATTAAATCAGTACATTTGCAGTGGTCTCTAGTAGGAATGAATGCCTTGCAATTTGTACTTGGGTGGGGGTCGGGGGCTCAGATGCCACATCAGAGGAGAGCTGAACACTGCAGGATTTAAAGTCTTACTTCCTGATATTTGGCCTCTGATTGGCTAACAGCAACACGACTCTACCACTGGCTCTGCTCTGCAGTGTTGTTTTATCTCTACAAATAACAAGTCCATGGAGTTTTGCTGTGTGGTGGCATTGCTAATGCTAATGGTTAGCTTCTAGTAGCAGATACGTTCTCTGCTGTTTCCTGGATGCTAAAACAACAACAGCCTTCCTTGTCGTGAGTCAAGATGGGTGAGCACATGAATGTTAAGGGACAGTGTGACGTAGATCTGTCAGGCTTTTCCAATTCTAGAGTTTCATCGTCTATTTTCTATCAGAAGCTAATTCAGGAGATCGGTGTAGGAGACTTTTCATGTTTAGCCTGCATGAAAAACTCAGTGACCCATTCTAATCAGAAATAATCATTAAATTGTTTTTCAGTGTTCCACACAAGAGATTAACAATGTAACTGGATTACAGGAAGGGTCCAAATCAACACAGCACAGAAAAAAAAAGTTTCACATGTTGTATTAACACTTCAACCGGTGTGTCTGATGTTTAAAACTGAATTAATATTCACAAGACTTGTTTGATTGATAAGTTAGAAAAGAGAATTCCTTTTGAAGTTATTCGCCTTTGCTTAAATAGTGCATCAGGGGAAGGATGTGAATGGAGTGAAGAGGTCAGGAGTGTTGTAAAGTAACCAAGACTCTATGCTGACGACGATGTAATGTTTGATTACTTTGGGGTTTCTTTTTCTCTAGCTCAGGGTAGAGAGGTAGCCTCACAGCAGGACGTAAGGATTGCATATCCTGTTAAGACCTGGAAAAGCTCTGTAAACCTCAAGAGCTGCTGTAGGAGACGGGAGGGAAAACCTCTCCTCACAACTAAAGGAGATTCATGTTAAACTGACTCTAATACAAATAACAAAAACCAACAAAATCTAACAGCTGGCAACTTTCAATCACTTGGATATTATTTTGTGACAAAGACTCCAGGCTAGATGAACGGGTTGCTGTAGTAACAAGATGAGTGTCTAACAACTTGGCTACACTGGTGGCACGGCTCTTCACACGCACTCTTTCTGCCTGAATCCACTTCTACATCCCAATAATTGGGTTTACATGGAAGGATTTATGATGTGCACAAAAAAAGTTGACTGACATTTTGCAAGCCACACTGAGGAAAAACATGGCATGCTTACCTTTTGAACTCCGCTTGCTTCTGCAAAGAGATTGTGTTGGAAGCCCCAGGCACCACGCTCTTTCCCTCGTATTCTTTTAGTTTTTGCTTTAACTGTAAAATCTTTAGATTAAAAGAAGTTGGTCAGAAATGAGCTACAGATGATTGCGAGTGTCCATGCAAGAAATCAGATACATTTTCTTGAGCGTAGTTATGTTGTTGTTTACATTACCTCTTGCTTTTGCTTCTCACATATTACAGCATATTGACCAATATGACTGTCGAGGCTTACGACATTGCTCTTGAGCTGAAAGGCAAAAATATGAAAAAAAAAGAAGAAATCTTAGAGCTTTTCTGTGGAGTTTCTGACACGAGTCATGGCTGCTAATTTAGTTAACTACATTATAGCTTTAGCACTAACCGAGGACTTGATCTCCTTAGCCCTGTTGGCATATTTAAGTGTGTTTTGGGTGTCATCATATGATTTAGATGAGGGGCCAACATTGGCAATCATAACCGTCCTGCAGTTGCCCCCCAAGGAGTCCTTCAGTATTCTCGTCAGCTTGCTGTCTCTGTATGGTATGTGAGCCTTTTTACTCTGAAACAAACAGGAAACGCTAGGATTAGACATTAAAAAAATCTATTATAATAATCACACACACACACACACACACACACACACACACACACACACACACACACACACACACACACACACACACACACACACACACACACACACACACACACACACACACACACACACACACACACACACACACACACACACACACGAAAAAAAAAACACTAGACTCACTGTGCTCACTCAGAAAATATATTAAACTGAAAGTTTGAAAGGAAAAAATACACAAACCAGAAATACACTACTCTTGTCAAACAAGACATTAAAAAAAAGGGAGTATGTTACTGCTGTGGTATGCAGAGGAGTATTCACAAATGTGAGTTGTGCCTTAGCATGCATTTTCCATCTGGACCACAAGAGAAGCCTCGTCACATTACACTGTATAGTGGGGACCAATAAACTTAACAGGGAACAGAATTTAGTACGGAGTGTACGCTTCAGAAATAAAGTCTTCCCGCAGCGGTCTGTGATTACAGCTCGGCTAATAATCACTGCATTAGATAAACTACAGCTGCTCAGGTGAGTCACACAGTCACAGAAGAACTGTCGGTCAACAGCTGGATTCAGAGAACTCAGCTGCAGCTCTCGCCCGGGCCGAAGATTTTTAAGATAACGTGATACTTGTGAAAATCTCCATTTTAAGAAAAACAAAATGTTCCACCTTACTCCATATTAAATACCTGAGAGTAAACGGTCATCCTCCTGGGAGCGGTGCAGCATTTATAATACACCTTAGTGAACTAAACCCATGAAGTCACAGAGAAACCACTTAAGTGTTTGTTATGAAGCACAGATTTCTTCTGGTTTATAAATGAAAAAAAATAATAAAATAAAATAAAATAAAATAAAAATAAATAAAGATGAGTAATGTTTGCGTTTATGTTGACATTGTCATTTAAAAAAGCTGTTGTGTCAGTGGTTTACTACACCTACTGGCCAATTCACTTGCTCAGATTCTTGTTAACCGAACTAGTTAATCAGCCATTCAGATGAGATGACAGCAACTGAGTGCATTCAGGGATCTAGTGGTGAAGACAACTTGCTAAGGCTCAAACTGAGCATCAGACTGGTGAAGAAAGGAGATTTAAGGGACTGTAAACTTGGTCTTAGTGTTTCAGAACCTGCTGATCTACTGGGATTTGCACCCACAGGCTTCACAAAAGAATGGTTCAGAAGAATTTCCAGTGAGTGGCAGTTGTGTGAATAAACTCATGTTGAAATCACAGCAGAATGGTAACAGTTGCTCAAAAACAAACATGCTCCAACCAAGGTCTACAGAATGCTATCTCTGAACCACAACATGTTGAACCTTGAAGCAGATGGACTCCAGCAAAAAAAAAAAAAAAAAAAAAAAAAAAAAAAAAAAAAAAAAAAGCCAACACCATGTATCAATCCTGTTAGCCAAAAGTAGGAAAACAGTCTACACAATTCACACGGAATAAAAAAAAAGTCCCATCTGATGGCACCTGCAAACAATCAGATGGTCAGGTCAGAAAAAAGAAGAATTTGGTGTCGTCAGTATGAAAGCATGGATTCATCCTGGCTTGCGTCAAGAGTTTAGACTGCTACTGTTGGTGTAAAGAAAGAAAGAAAACATTCTTATAGCGCCTCAAAATAAAAATCATGAGGTGCTTCACAAAAAAAAAATTAAACGTATAAAAAGATTTCTAAAATGGATTAAAATTATGTTTAAAAGGAGAAAAGAAAAAATGTAAGGAAAGGGAGAGAGAAAATGAATAGGAAAGAGGGAAATCAATGAGAACAGAATAAGTAGAGGGTGGTGATGAAGGTCATGTAAAATTCTGCTTGAACAGGTGAGTTTTCAGCTGCTTTTTAATAGAGACCACTGATCTCAGGCTCAGGGAAAGAGTTCCAGAGTCCCTCAGGGACCTGCTGGGGGTGTAGGGACTGAGAAGATCACCATCGTATGACGGTGTTTGTCCATGTAAGGCTCTAAAGACCAGAACCAGGATCTTGAAATGAACCCTGAAGTTGACTGGCAGCCAGTGAAGCTGGAGGAGAAGCGGGGTGATGTGGGTGTGTTTGGAGGACTTGGTCAGAAGCCGAGCACAGGCATTCTGAACCACCTGTAGATGGTTCAGGGAGGTTCTGCTCAGACACGTGAAAAGAGAGTTACAGTAGTCTAAGCATGAGGAGATGAAGGTGTGGATAACTGTCTCAAGTTCAGAGCGGGACAGAATGGGACTCAGCTTAGCAATGTTCCTGAGATGGAAGAAGGAAGAGCGAACAAGAGAACTGACATGAGAATCCAGGGTGAGAGCTGGGTCAAAGGTCACACCAAGATTACTGACAGAAGGTTTGGTGTGAGAAGCAAGCTGACCAAGAGTGTCTCTGACTTTGGGAACCAGCTTGTTTGGGGCACAGATGAGGATCTCAGTCTTACCTTCATTCAGCTGTAGAAAGCTCCCAGCCATCCAGGTTTTGATAGAGTCTAAGCAGGTGTGTAACAGCTGCAGCTTAGACATCTCATGGGGCTTAAAGGAGATGTACAGTTGGATGTCATCTGCATAATGACGGTATGAGATTCCTTTGAAGGAGTTCAGGATGTGATGAAGAGGAAGCAGATAGAGAAGCGCAGAGGGCCCAGCACAAAACCTTGTGGGACACCATGGGTAAGGGAGGTGGTGGAGGACCTAAACTTGGAGATGGCCACAGAGCAGGAACACTCAGACAGATAAGAGGAGAACCACCCCAGAGCAGATTCTGACAGGCCTACCCAGTCTCTCAGCCTCTCCAGTAGCAGGTGATGGTCAACAGTGTCAAAGGCTGCAGTCAGGTCCAACAGGACCAGAACAGAACAGTCCCTTGCATCACTGTGAGTCAGAAGGTCATTAGAGACCCTAAGAAGAGCTGTTTCAGTAGAATGAGCTCTACGAAAACCTGACTGGACGCTATCATAGATGTTATGTTCATCAAGAGCAGCTGTGAGTTGTTAAGCCACAACCTTTTCCAAGATCTTGGAGATGAACGGAAGTTTAGAGATGGGTCTGAAGCTGCTATGGAGAGAGGCGTCAAGACTCGGTTTTTAAGAATTGGGTGGATTACAGCATTCTTAAACTAAGCAGGGACCTGACCAGAAACCAGAGAACCGTTAATTATGGAGAGCACGCTGGGACCGATGGACTGAAAAGCACTTTTAAACAAAGATGAGGGTAAGATGTCGAGGGGGCATGCAGAGGTCTTCATAGAGTTACCTAGTTTGGTTAACTCAGGCAAAGAAACAGGAGCAAAACCCATTCTAGGCTCCTCACTACCACCTGAGCCTGTTTTAAACACCATAGCCTATCTGAGTATTGCTGCTGACCATGCCCATCCATCTATGACCACAGTGAACCCATCCTTTCATGGCTACTTTCAGATAGATGATGCTCAATGTCACAAAGCTCAAGTCATCTGAAACAGTTTATTGATAATGACATTGAGTTCACTGGACTCTCAGCGATCACCACAGTCACCAGATCAATGCAAACGAGGACTTTTGGAGCGGGAGATTCCCATCACTGATTTGCAGCAGACAAATCTGCAACAACTATGTCCTGCTATTATAATAGAATTGTGGATCAAAACCTCTGCAGAATGTTTCACATCTGGTTGAATCTGTGACAAAAATGTTTTAGGGCAAAGATGGCAGAGGAGGTGTGCCTCGTAACCAGAGGGTTGAAGGTTCAACCCCAACTTAGTCTGTTGTTGTGCCCTTGGGCAAGACGATTAACCCACCTTGTCTACTGGTGGTGGTCAGAGGGACCGGTGGCACCTGTGTACTGCCCTTGTCAGTTGCGGCTACAGAGTAGCTCATCACCACCAGCAGATTTTTATCTTCACTGTGAAAAATCTGACAGTAACATTTCCAAGAAGCAAAACTTTTACAAAATGCTGGTGAAAAAAAAAAAAACATTAAGATTTTGCAACACATCTGGAGCTTTTGCGGTGCATGGGTGAGAAAAATTGGTCACGACTGAAAGAAGGCGTTTTATCAACTGCATTAGCATAAATAGGGCCACCGCCTAAGGCAAACAACTTACAACAGAAACCTCTGTACAGCATAACATGAAGATGACACAATGAACAGCCCCAACTAAAGTAGCAGGCATTCTTCTGGCATACCAGTCTAGACACAAGCGAGGACATTCTTTCCAGTAAACATTGACCACAATATAAATGCCTCTGTATCAAAAAAGCAGAGAAACAGGGGTGGGAAACTTGTGGGTATTGTTTTGGATTTTACAGAACTGAGTCCATGGCTGCTTCACTTAAAAATGGCGGGTAGGGTAAAACATCGACTTTCCAATGCTGATGAAAGGACACCATATCAACCCAAAGAATGAAGTTGGTTGAAGGTGGATTGCATTTCAACATGGCTGTCATAGTTTTGCACAACACCTCCTAAATGCGGGCATGCGGCCCGCTTGTGCCTCGTCCCTCGAGACTTGTGTGTAAAATGAGACGTCTGCTTGACAGATTAATGTATGCAACTGGAATGAAATTATACCCAAATACTCAGCTGGCTCCCTCTTACCAGCTTCGTATTCAAGTGGTTACCTTCAAACTCCCATAACCTTAACAAACTTAATACCAGCTCCAATGTAGACAGATGATGTACTAAACAGATACAACTGATAAACACATTCAGTTAGCAGTAGAGGCCAACCGATATCGTTTTCTCAAGGCCAATGCAGATTTTTAAAGAATTTTGCTGCCGATGGCCAATATCTAAGGCTGATTATTAAGGCTGATATATACATATACGTTTTAGCAGCACATTGATTGTCAAAGACAACAGAACACTCAGTGTGTGCAATATAAATTAAGTAAATAAATCTCTTAATATTTATTGAACTTCAAATATAAAACAAACTCAAAACATAAAACTGTGTTGGGGTCCTTTATTCAGTCTAGTAGTCAGTTGGCCAGACAGGTGCCTGATTTTTTATTTTTTAACAAATTTGCTTTTAAAAATAATTTCGGTCGATTACTGATAAAAACACTTTTTAATATATCGGCTGGCCTCTAGTTAGCAGTTTATCGTACCTGATAAATTCATCATGTTAGTGCATTGCCTGGTTAAATGTTATGACAATCTTTGATATTTAGCTTTGGACATTTAAGTGACAGCCGTTCCTATAATGTCATACCTTGTAAAATTAGGCCTAAAAACTGCAGTTTGTTGTAGGCAGTGAACCATAAGCACTTTTTATTAAAACGTGGACAATGAAGTTCCAGGACTTGGTTAAATACAAAACAGCACAAATAATGTATTAAGTAAGAAATAAATTGATGCCTGATAAAATACAGAAACTGTTCACAGAGAGAGAAGGAGGATATAACCTGAGAGGGACACTAAACTTAAAGATACATAAATGATAAATGACTCGCACTTGAATAGCACCTCTCAAAGTAAGGACTCCAAAGCGCTTTACGCTACAGTGTATCATTCATCCATTCACACACACATTCACACACTGATGGGGATGAGCTACGATGTAGCCACAGCTGCCCTGGGGCGCACTGGCAGAGGTGAGGCTGCCGAGCACAGGCGCCGCTGGTCCCTCCGACCACCACCAGCAGGCAAGGTGGGTTAAGTGTCTTGCCCAAGGACACAACAGCAGAATTCTCTGTCCAGAGCCAGGATCGAACCTGCAACCTTCCGATTACTGTACAACCCGCTCAACCTGTTGAGCTACTGCTGCCCCAAGTTTAGAACATTAAAACAGTTGTGTATCACAATAATAGGGGTTAAATTATGGAACAATTTAGAAGAAGAAATCAAAGTAAGTACAAATATAAATGTGTTTAAAATGAATTATAAAAAACATTCTGAACAAGTATATAGTGGAAAATAGATGATTTATGTGGGTGTCCTTTATAGAGCCCTGCACTGAAGCCCTAGGCCCTCGGGCCGGGCTTCAGGCCAACGACTGTGTAATTACCTCGGACACGGGCCGGGCGCCTTTATTTTTAATCGAATTCATTTAAAAAATTGAAACACAAACGCAGCAGTAGAGCCCTGCGCGGGACTGTTTTCTTCATCCCGCTCCCGCTGAATTTCTGACCATTATCGCCTGCAACTGCAACGTGTGTGTTACACTCCCGCCCGCACCCGCAGTGTGCATGTCTACTCCCGCCCGCAACCGCAAAACTCGGAGAAATTATTACCTCACAATAAAAGACATGTATTGAGTTTGCGTTCTCTCTGGTCCTGGAGAAAACATGTCACAACTCGCGGCTCTTCCATCCATCTGATGCGGCTCTCCGTGCTTGTAAAATAATGATTGGATAATTAAATAAAATGCTTTATATTTTACTGAATTAATTTCATATCTGTAAGTCAATTCTATGTAAAGATTGTCTGCGTAAACCTGAACAGGTCCAACCCAGTCTTACTGTGAGACCGGGTTGACGGGTCACGCTTGTACGTAATCATATAGGCGCTTTCTGAGCTGAAGAGATTCTGGGATTCTCCTCAGACGGCTCCTGGATGTGTTGCCACATTGGAGACAGGAACAAGCGCTATTCAGCCAAAGTTTCATAATCAGGGAACATTTTCTAAGTGACAAGTCTCTCTGAGAAACAGGGTTTGGAAAACACTCGCTTCAGTGGGAGGAACCTTCCCGCATGCGCTCTGGTTCTGCGACGCGCTCCAAGCCCCTCTCCACAACTTCAGCTCGCTGTGCACCATACGTACGCGCTGACAGTGAGCTGCGCTGAGCAGTGTCCAGCTCAGATGTTCAGATGGGAATCTTTTCTTGAGTGATTTAGCTACATCTGTGATGTGTGTAATGAATAAAATGTCAGTTCGTCTGCATGCGTCGGGGTAATTCTTTCTATTCTTTCTCCGTCAAAACAAACTGTCAAATACGGGAACTATCCAGTCAACACAAGCCCTGCTTTTAACTGTTCTGTTTTCTTGTGAAAATTGTTGGAAAGAGATAAAATTTAACTTGATTAACACCAGAGCCAGTGCGCCGTTATCTCCGTGACGGTAAACAAGGGAAAAACAAATTGATCGGATCCTGCATGTCTTTTAACACATTGGTCAGGATTGACGCACTTTGTTCTCATTTAGTTGGTTAAAAAAAAAAAGTCGGGCTCGGGTCGGACCAGAGAATCCTGAAAACCTTTTCGGACCGGGTCGGGCTGGGGCTCCACCCCCTCGGGCTGGGCCGGACACGGGCTCAGATTTTAGGCCTGTGCAGGGCTCTAGTCCTTTATTCTAAGGAAAAGTAAATTGTATCAATTGTAAAAAGATGGTTTGGTGGTTTTTGGTGACTTGTACCATTTTGTTTGATTTAATGTAGGTTTTGTGTTAGATTTAGTAAACAAGTAAAAATTACTTGTATAAAGGAGTAGGGACTTGTAAGTTTCCACTTCAGCCTACTTCTTTTCAAACGGAGAAGAAAAAAAGGGATGATGATGTATTTTTTCTGTTTGTGGTATTTAAAAAAAAATAATGTATGTTTTCTTTGTTTGAAATAAACTAAACTAATAAAACAAGGCATGGCTGTGTGATTTCAGCCAACACATTCTCAAACCCAAGACGTCAAAATATGACGCGTGTGACCAAGCGTCAATATATGACGATGCCCCAGCGCGTCAGGAGACGACGCTCAGGGACAAACAGCTGACGCAGCGTCCCAGAGCTTCGGTATCAGACGCCGGTGGTGAGACGGACATTAGAACTACTTAAGCGTCCCCTCACCCCAATCCTAACCTCAAGGTTACAGTTTATGGACCTTAAGGTTAGGACTGGGGTGAGGGGAAGGTTAAATTGTCAAATAATGTCCGTGTGACAGCGCGCGTCAAAGTGACACCAGCGGAGCCACGTGACCCAGCGTGTCCCTGATCGTCGTCTCCTATATTGACGCTTGGTCACACGCTTCATATTTTGATGCCTTGGGTGTGAGAATGTGTTGTTTCAGCATAAACCAGCGCTGACCAGAATCTTCCAAACTAAAACAACGGTACTCTGTGTGAACATATAATGAAGATACAGAGCAAGACACGTCACCTTTGGGTCAGCAAGAGCGTTGATAACATTTCCTAGGGCAAGCAGGGAGCGGTTGATGTTAGCACCTTCTCGTAATCGCGCCCCTTTGGCGTTGGTGGCGCTGGCCCTCTCTGAGCCAGCGAGGTCAATCAGGCTCATTTTGGCAATGCAGACGTTGGGATTGAGACTGGCAGTTTTGTCCTGCTGCCTCAAATAGATCTGATAAATCAAACACAGAGCTGTTAGATTACGAAATAAATCACTCAGTCTTTGTATGACTTTTTTTTCACCTCCTCATTTTAATTCATTACTTCACCTAGCCCTTCCCATAAAAAACTGGACTTTTAAGAAACTTTAGGCTTAAATACCTGAAACACAGCATGGGATCTGGAAGACGTGGCATTCATATCAGTGGGGTGCTGTGTTCTGTTTCGATTGCCAGAATCCAAAGCCTCAAGAATGTGGTCTGCAGATTTGGGCTGAAAAGAGATAAAAAAGTTTAACTGCATCAGATCTTCATTAGAAATCATTAAAGGCACCTGTGCACTATAATGAATGATTAGGCTCACTGTTTGGGTTAGTTATGCAATAGGGCTGGGTGCTTTAGCCTCAAAATTGTATTAAAATATGCGATTGAAGTTTCTGGTTTAAATAACAATGTAATCTCTACAAGGAGACTCCTATTTCTATTTTTGTACATCCTTGGAATTATGATCAGTTTCACATTACATTTTTATTTCAGCAGAAATATTAAGAAGCTCTTGTTGGGTTTGCCCCCTGGATGCACAGGAAGTGCTGCTTTTAGCTGCTGGTGGTGATTTTTATTAATGGAGAGGGGGATACAAAAGAAAATGCACAATTTCATGAAAATAATCATGTAATGCAAATATGTTAACTGTAAAAACACTGAACCACGTTGAAAATTTGTACACTTGGAGCTGTTTAAAGACAGCAGCAGATGTTAATCCATCAAGCCTGTAGGATGCAAACGCCACGTCTCAAATTCAAATTTAAGGAGCTCCTTCACACCTGAGGTCATAATTATTTAACTTCAACACAAACACTTTAAAAAGACTGAGAAAGCTCTTTAAATCAACAAACAACACTCAATGTTTACATCAATTCTAGCGTTGGTTCAACAGGTTTCCTTCAAATGATTCATTCATTTCATCCGCTTTCACGGGGTCAGGTTGTGGGGGCAGCAGCCTAAGCAAAGTGGCCCAGACTTCCTTCTCCCCAACCACTTGGGCCAGCTCCTCCGGGGCAATCCCAAGGCATTACCCTGCCAGCAGAGAAACTGTCCCTCCAGCTTGTCCTGGGTCTTCCTTTGGGTCTCCTCCTGGTTGGATGTACCCGGAAAATCTTACCAGGGAGACGTCCAGAAGGCATCCTAACCAGATACCCAAGGCCCCTGCAACTGGCTCCTGTCGATGTGGAGGAGCAGCAGGTCTACTCTGAGCCCCTCTTGGATGACCCAACTGATCTCTAACCCTTACTGCACACTGAAAGCATCAGCATCACAGAAAAGCAGCGCAAAAGTTTACTCCAGTGCACACCGGGAGTCTCCGCTACGAAGCGTCATCTCAGCTGTGCTCCTCGCGAGATCACAAAATTCCTCAAATTTATGCCATCCGCCATTAAACCAAGAAGAAGGAAATCACATTCGATGTCAGTTGTTGGTCCTCTCCACTGCCATGGTTAAAGCCATAAAAACACACCGCTGCAATGCTGTGAGTAAATAAGCCGTTAGGGCACTTGCACTGATGTAATCTACACACACGCACACACACACACTTATATGAAGTCACATCGCTGCAATAGACTTATTTTGAAAATTAACTGGAAATTTTACACTGAAGCAGTGTGTGATTTCCTGTCTAGCCCTATGTTAACTGCAGGAATTGTTGCATACCTGTCTTAAGCGGCGCTGCTTCTGGGACGGGTCTGAAAATTGCCGCATCACGGCTGGTTTGAATCCCCCAATAGACTAACGGATTCTATCTGAAGCTGTGACGCTCCGCTGCCGTTCTGCACCACCGATGCTTCCACTGTGCAGTAGAGCCCAGACACTACATTTCAGCTGCTTGTATCCGCGATCTTGTTCTTTAGGTCACTACCCAAAGCTCTTCCGACTCAGCTCCCTCTTCCCTTCTTCAAATTAAATTTTATATATTGAAAGGAAACTACTAAATTGTTTTTCATGAACTATTATTTTGTACACTTAGAACATGGAAGACCTCCAGAGTTAATACTAAACATAGAAGGGTTTCTTTAAACAGCAGAGAAGCAGTTTTATTTTTATTTGTTTTAACTAGGGCCGGGACTTTAACGTGTTAATTACGATTAATTAGAAAAAAATAACGCGTTAAAAAAATTAACGCATTTAATCGCAGATTGCATTTCAAGCACGGCGGAACTTTTGTCATTGCACGACTTCCTCGTAGACTGAATATCACTGACGCACACAACAATGCACAGTGCTAATGGCTACTAAACGTAATAAAAACAGAAAGAAGTTGCCTTGCTTGGACTGATGCAGGATTTAGGAAACACGTCCGCCTCTTTTCTTAACTTGGGGGGGGGGGGGAACTTCCAGACAACAACGGAGTCCGTGTCGCGGACATTTTTCAGAGATAGTCTCTGCTGCAGCTGCCCGCCCGGTGGCACCGGAAACTTTACAAAAGTTGCGGTAAGCTATATTTTTAACATTTACGTAACATCTTTGCAGCGCTGAACGCACCAGACAGAATAATTCTGTGTCCTAACAGTAGTTTATGAAAGTAGTGAGACAAACGAGAGGCACCTGGCTGCCGCTGGGAGAACGCTCCGTGTTCTCACTACTCTGTAAACAGTCACAAACAACGTGTCTTAAAGTTGAAAACAGAAGTTTAAGTTCAAACAGAAACACTCTGAAACTTTTCTGATGATTTTCTAAACAATGCTGTCGGGGTATTATGTTTCTGAGACGAGTCTCTGTCTAAACATCACATGCATTACTATCGTTAAGCTGCGAGGTGTGCTGAAGCTGTTATCAGCTAAGGGGCGGATGCTTAAGTGCATCTGGGGCAGCGAGGAACGAGAAAGTTGTGATCAGGCTGGAGATCACACCAGATTCGCTGCTGCAGGCATGAATCTGCGGGTCTGCAGCATCCCCTTATTAACATCAGGACTTCCCCATGTAAGGAAGGTCCGCTCACCTGTTCGTCAGATCATTATTTCCTCGCCATGATCTTTTATCATCCCATCAACCTCCAGTCATCCAACTGAAACCAGTTAGTGTTCCTGATCATTCTCAGAATATGTCACGCCTGCTCTGGTGTTAAAAGTTAGTACAATTAAGTCCTAGATCATATTTGTGCCTGCTCTACTGTCATTTTGAAGGATTATTATTTATGTGTTTTTACTACATTATGAGTAGAAATGCTAATAAAAACTCTCAATTATACAAACAAGTGAAACTGGAAAAATTAGAATCTGGTGCAAAGTCAAATTTATTTCAGTCATTCAACTAGACAGAGAGACTATTTAAAGGCTCAGGAACCTTCTATTTGTAATTATAAATTTTAGTTGATTTGGGTTTTGTTTCATATCACACAGTGACATTTGAAATAATTAAAATGCATTTTTTTATTAAAAGCTTTAGTTTACAGTAATAACCATGTCTAATGTTTGATTCTCTGTCTCAAAATTTTAATTAAAAGTTTTACTTTGAGAGCACATTTTCCTGAACGATTAAAATGCGATTAATTGAGATTAATTAATTACAAAGCCTGTAATCAATTAGATTAAAATTTTTAATCAAGTCCCAGCCCTAGTTTTAACATCTAACCTATAACTAAGATTCTGCTTTGCAACACAATCAGAGGGAAATTGAATAAAAACCAGCTGTAATAAACTAACAGAAGGGTTCTGTATTTATCTTTATAAAGTCTACAGACCTTGTGCAGCGTGAGACCCTGAACGACCACTCCTTTAGAGCCGTCCTCTCTAACAGCAAGAGGCCCAACATTGGCCAGCAAGTCTCTGATCTGTTCGTTATAAACCTGTGAAAAATAAAATAGAGGAAACCAAAACAAATTTATCAAAACCAGTCTCACAATAAAATAAATTACTATTAAAAAGGGGCATGTATAAATACAGCGGCAGTGTTTTTAACTAATTTAGTAAAACTTCACTTTTACTCTAGAATTGACTAGTTTTATGCATTTACAAACAAAGGGATGTACACACCTCAAGATATGAAAATGCCACTGCAAACTCTTTCTCCTCCTTGGCATCATCCATGCGCTTGAACAGCTCTTTCATTGTGCGGTACATGACCCCTGGGTCATTTTGTGAGCCTAACATGGTGTGTGTTTTACCCGCTCCAGTAGCACCATATGCAAACACTGAAACAAAACAATAGAAAAATAAAGAAATCTGTGCAAACAATAATAAGTGAACACTAACGTAGGAAGAATCCTAACTAGGAAATTGGAGAAAAATCATGCAATCTGCAAAAATCATAAATGAATAACAGAAAACTGCTAATTTAATATTCCAATTTAGATTATTGTTTGTACATAATATAAATGGATAAATCCAGGGCATCTGCAGGTTGATGGGAGCCAAATTTAAGACTTTAAGACCTTTTTTAAGGCTATTTTGACCAAATTTAAGCTTTTTTTTTAAAATTAATTTCTGCTATAATTTCCAGCTAATGCCTGGGACCGGTGCTAACCATGTCGCAAACGTGGGATTAATCATCCAGTTACCATTAAACTTGCACTTCTCCACGGCACAAGCTCCCACTAGCTTAACCAGCTAATGTGCTCATCTAAAAATAGCCCCCTTTCACAACCAACTGAATATGTACGGTTCCGCTTACGCCAACATCATACACAAAAAATGCTGAAGACTAACTAGAAATTCACAAAAATGAATAAAATAATCTTGTTTATTGGGTCTTTGGTAATTTAAGACCTTTGGAAACTGTATTTAAGGATTATTTGTAATTTTTAAGGATTTTCAAGGCCTTAAATTTGGAAAAGTAAATTTAAGACTTTTTAAGACTTAAGGACCCGCGGATACCCTGAAATCAACCCTTGTCTGAGCATTAGGCAGATAAAACAACGCCTTTAGTATTTTAAGGAGGGGATAATTTATACTGGTGGCAATTATGTTAAGGAAATCACAACTTTATTCAGGAGAAACTTTACAATTATAATAACAGCAGGGATTAAAAGTTAGCTTTTATTTATTAAACATGTGGAAACCTTGAGACATTTTAAAAAGGACATAAATATAAAAATGTTTATAATTGTATCCATAAATGTTTTAATTTATCTTTAGTTGTAAGAGCTAAAATAGAGTATTTTGGTCTTCCTAATACAGAAAGTCTACAGTTGCTTTTTAAAAGATCATTACTAAAGCTATGCACTGAGTGACAAAAAATATGCAAATACATAAAGCAGCAACAATCTGTAAACTCAATGATGTCATATTTTACCTGTGCAGTTGAATCCGTTCATCACACTGTCCAACACACCTTTGGTGGTGCTCTCAAAAACATCCACTTGAGTGGAGTTTTCATCAAAGACATGGTCGAAAACAAATTTTAAATCTTTGTTAGCCCTCTTGTTGACGTTTCTGTTACGCACTCTTTGTGACCCAAAACACGTTAAGTCCTCTTCTTTGGGGTCAAATATTAGCATGTGGTTGTCGACAACTTGGACCACATTTCGACAGTTTTCAAGTCTCTCGCTCTCGTTGGTTGGTCTCACCCGAACCACCACCTTTACATGGCTACAAACATCATTTGACATTGTGGTTCCTCGGCAGTGATCCAAGTGTTGCTGTAACAAAATAAAATGTTACTTCACTAAGCAGAAACACTTCCAAATTTGCCCGTAGTAATCATTTGATTATATGACTAACGCTGACCATGGATTCTAACTGCAAAGTCAAAAACCCTATATATATATATATATATATATATATATATATATATATATATATATATATATATATATATATATATATATATATATATATATATATATATATATATATGTATATGTGTGTGTGTGTAAATAAATAATACCTGAAAGAGGCAATCTGCAACAAATAGGTCACAAAGCCACCAATACGCCTGATATTTATAGAACACAAGGACTATAAAGAATCCCAATCATTTATACAAAATATAAGTGTATTAAAGTGTTTAACTTAGTGACAAAGTATTATTTATTGCACGTATAATAATCAGCATTAAATTATTTCAAAGGTGAAACAATGAGGATACAATGTATGCATGCTATTGACATTTACTGAGGTCAGAATAAATGCACTGTGCATTACTGATCTACTTTGGTCAAAACAGAAAAAGCATAATAGTTGATTTAATTTTTCTAAACTACTGTCTCACTTGGTTATTAGTTTTATGTTTTTACACAAAAAAGAATTTTAAGCTGCTAGAGAATTAAACACAAACTAACGCCACTAATATTTTATTAATTGGCTAAATTTACTTTGCAAGATTGCTGCTTTGTTCCCATTCATTTAAGCTAAACTCATTAATAAGTTGAAGCAAAACACAACCCAAATGTGAAGTGAACATCGTTCAAAATAATCGTGATAAATATTATTCTCATTAAAGGAGCTCCTTGTGAAATTGTAAATTGACTAAGGTATATTTGTTTTCTGTAATACACTCCAATACTCAAATCTATTGTTTGATTTATTGCTAGCAGTATATTTTTTCCTTAGAATATCCCATGTTGTTTTGTGTTATTGGTGTAGTTTAATGCAACTTTAATACTCTTTAAACGACAAATAATTGTCTTGTATAAAACGTAGACGACTGTCTGGTTCGGTGGTTCCCTTTCCGGGCCGGTGTGCCATTTAAAAACGTTAAAACACATTAAATGTTACTTTATATATGAGAACATAAAGTTGCAAAAAGTGCTAATGGTTGGTGTTATTATCCATTAAGTAACATTTGTCAATACTAACGTACAAGCAAATTAGCGAAGCACACGCTTGCATAGGACACACATAAAAACGTTAACCAGAGGAGCGTCATATGCTAACTAGCCAGCTAGCTGTCATTCCCAACGGTACGTTCACATTGTTTGTCTCTATCTCAAATGCACTGCGGGTGAAAATGTTGTCTTACCGTTTGTAGCTAACAGTTAACGCTCATTTCACAGTACTGTTTTGTTGCTAATTAAAGCGGCACCTCGTATTAAAATAATCAACTTGCTAACAATGCGCAGCTGTTAATCGCTATCACCACCAGCGCCAATATTTTTAAACAGCAGCTCGCTTCCTGTCTGGCAGCGGATTGGCTGACAAAAAAACCTGGGCGGATCGCAGAGACGCACGGGCGACGCAAGACGCTTTTGAGGGCGGAGCCTATTAGTGGTCTACTACTACGGTAAGCTTCAGTGTGAGATGTGTGAGGTAATAGCACGTTTCTAATTCAGTAAACACCATCGTTGTGAATCAAGTAGTTTAAAATGTTCAAGTGAACCGTTTCATCCATTTTGGTTACCTGCTGACTTTTTTGTGCACGTGTAGTTGCGCGATAATTCAATGTGGTAGCATAGCAACTAATTCTACTGCACGGAGCTCCCCTGGTCTTAAAAGAGCCTTTCGTGCATTCAGCACACACCAGATTGTTAAAGAAAAAGCTAGATATGTTTCAGGTTCCATACATTTCAGGTATGACGAACCCCTGTAACTATTACCATTTACAAACACCTGTTAGCTTAATGCGGCCACCTCTGTGGAGTGGACAGCATCCCAGAAGCCCTGCCTTTTTGTTGTTTGCTGTTTAAAAGTGTAAACATACACGATGACACGTGTGTGGGGAAACCAAACCTTGCCTGACAGGGTTGTGTTGTGAATTTGGCCTCTCTAAACCCAGTTTGAAGGATAGCGCAACATTAGCATTAATAGCCTTTAACAGGCTCTCCTAAGACATAACTCCCTAATAAATATCATTATGGGTTTAATTCAGGAATGTTCGAATTGTTTTCTGAGGGAGACTTTAGAGATGATTTGTGCTGTCCCAAATTGTATTTCTAGTCTGCTCTGGGTTTTCTCTCCAGCAGGCTGCCAAAACAAATAAAAAGAAAACAATTTTTGCATTTAAAAAATAAAACATAAATCTAATTTTGTGGCCCACAAAGATAATTTTGGCCCTCCTCTTAAAAAGTTGGGTCACCCTTGGTTTGATATATTTTGTTTTTAATAAGATAAAGTATACATTTATATTTAGTTTAATTGTTATACTACTTTTTTCTCTATCTGTACTTTGTTTCTTATTCATGTTGATGTTTTATTGGAGCAGTATGTGATAGATCAGAATTCATAGCCCATGTAAAAGGAAAATTATTCACAGAAACTGTACCCAGTCAGATAAGTAACCAACAAAAAGCAGTTCCCCTCACAAAGTTTCAACCAAATTTAATTTAGAGGGCAATAAATGGCCTTGAGGCGGAGACTTGCTCATTATTCATGTTATAACAAAATTCGCCTTTTTTACATGTTGAATTTTATTTTAAGATGACTTTCCTTATTTACCTGGTCCAGTCAAATTCTAGAACAGGTTTAATGTAACCCCAAAAGCAGTAATAATATCTTCATGGCATCATAACATTGCGGTTCTTTATTCTTGGTGTCAATAAAATACTTACAATAATATCATGACTAATGTCTTTGAAACTTTCATTGAAAAGTAACCTTTAGCGGAATTTGTGTGCATTCTTAACATATTTAATATATTTATCTTTTGGATTATCAGTCCCATGAGTAGCTTTCATGGTTTCCTCCCCACAGGAGTCATGCTTTTTCACTCCAGTCCAGCAATATGGAAAACACATGTGGCTGTGTGGAGAGCATGGAGGACACTGATGACAAGCCTGCCGTCATCTGCATTTAGAACATCTTCTGGTTTCTGCGGTTCATCGGATCCATCCGAAGAAGCCTCCTCTGTTTCTGCTGATAAAGCGCCTCACACACCTGTCATGCTGAAAGAGGTGCTCCATTACTTAGACATCCAACCAGCTCAGGTATGTTTACACCCTAATTATCTGTGCTAGCCTTTTGGTGTCTGTGACAATGTTTATGTCTACTTGTTCAAAGGTTAAACATTAAGGAACCTTTATTTTCTTGTAGAAAAATATTAGATACAAAAAAAAAATCCAATATGATTTGGAATTTTCACAAAGAGCAGCCTTTTAAAAATGTGTTGTATGAAGTATTTCTTACATAGATGAATGGATGAATTACACAAATAGAAATCATTTCAGCTTTATGAATGTGTTTGTACTGAAACTCAGTTAATGAAATTATTTAATGGGTTACAAAGACGTTTAAAGAGCCACTATCCAACATTTTCATCTTTTTAAATCATTTTCTTGAGCCAGTATGTGCAAAAATTTTGCAGCAAGGCTATTTAACCCTCTGGAGGCAGGCGTTCCAGATTTGCAACAGTTAAAACCTACCTACCTGGTTACTCCACACACGTATTTCATGAGCATTTTTTAACTCAGAAGTACCCCTGAAGGACTTAGCTGTTCCTCCTTTGATCAAAACTTATTTAGAGCCTGAGAGGGTTAATTCTGGGCCTCGTGGGCTGGTATCCATCATGTTTTATTAGTTTCTCTGGTCCAACACACTTGATTTGGTGGTTTTATCACCTGTGCAGCAGCTCATCAGGTTATGCAGAAGCCTGTTAATCACCCTGGGCTGCCACCTTACTGTGGTGGAGGGAGGGGTTTGAGTGTCCCAAGGATCCTAGGAGCTAAGTTGTCTGATGCTTTATGCCTCTGGTAGGGTCACCCATGGCAAACAGGTCCTAGGTGAGGTATCAGATAAAGAGCAGCCGAAAGACCTCTTATGAAGAAAAATATACATTGAAATAGTGTTCCCTCGCTGGGTCACCGGGGTCCCCCTCTGAAGCCAGGCTTGGAGGTGGGGCACGTCGGCGTGCGCCTGGTGGCCGGGCTTTCACCCATGGAGCCCGGTTGGGCACAGCATAAAGAAGAAACATGGGTCGTCCTTCCCATGAGCTCACCACTTGTGGGAGGGGCAAATGGGTTCGGGTGCAGTGTGTGAGTGGGAGAGTGGCGGTCTGATCCTCGGCTACAGAAGCTGGCTCTTGGCACGTGGAAGGTCACCTCTCTGGTGGGGAGGAGCCTGAGTTGGAGTGAGAAGTTGAGAGGTTCTGACTAGATATTGTTGGACTCACCTCAACACATGGCTCTGGCTCTGGAACCAGTTTCCTCGAGAGAGGTTGGACACTCTACCACCCTGGAGTTGCCCCCACTGAGAGGCGCCGAGCAGGAGTGGGCACACTACTAGTGTGACTCTCAGCCATGTGGACTGCTTCAAGTCACAATTTGCAAAATCTATTTGGGTGGCACACTACATGGCCCAAGGTTTCAGTGAGTCAAACTGCACAACTTCTTGGTCCAGGACACACCAATGTCACAAGCATACATTGCTGCAAGGCATACATCACTAAAAGCCAACAGTTGCCCAGAATGGCAACGATGAGGAAAACGCTAGCTTTAACACTTGGGGCAGCCGTAGCCCAACAGGTAGAGTGGGATGTCCAGCAATTGGAGGGTTTTAGCAACGATCCTGCCTTCCAGCAGAGAATTCAGCTGTAATGTCCTTGGGTAAGACGCTTAACCCACCTTGCCTGCTGGTGGTGGTCAGAGGGGCCGGTTGCGCCTGTGCTCGGCAGCATCACCGCTGTCAGTGCATCCCAGGGCAGCTGTGGCTACAATGTAGCTCATCACCACCAGTTTGTGAATGTGTGTGTGATTGGTTGAATGATACACTATAGTGTAAAGCGCTTTGGAGTCATCTGGCTTTGAAAGGTGTTATACAAGTGCAGGTCATTTATCACTTCTTTCATTAGACTGACTGAACTCCAAAAAGGAGTGCTCCACATGTTCTTGCATGTAGCCTCCATCGTTTCTAATGTTGCTAATTCTACTGTAGTATTGTACTCTCGTCACTAGATTTTTGTATCACTCCTTGGGTGGATTTTGACTGGTCAATTGCTATTTGGGGTCATACATTTTGTCACACAACTTGAATACTGTCTGAAGCTGGATTTGGTCATGAGAGTGCCTAAATAAGCCGTCAGTGGGTCGGTCAACCTGGACAGCCACAGACCTGCAGATGACATTTTTTGTTTTTTGTCAGAAGTCTCTTCACAACATAAAATTTGTCCAGGATGGCGAATAATGCATCGTTTTAACCGGGATGGACCCCAGGTGTTTTTTAAAAAATATTTTAAATACTTCTTCCCAATTTCTTCACTTTTCCAGACTTGGCAAGTGCTCCCGTATTGAAGGGTCTTGGTCTACATTTTGCTCCTCGCAGTCCCAGTGGGGTCCAAAGGGCACGGTGTGTGTTGTTTCGAATGTTGCGTTCACAGCCATAAAAGAGCAAGTTCACTGGGAAACCATTTTTTTACTTGTGACATTTGAAGTATGATCAGTCACTCAGAGTTTAACATTGGCAGCAGTAGCTCAACAGGTTGAGCGGGTTGTCCAGTAATCGGAAGGTTGCAGGTTCGATCCTGGCTCCGGACAGAGAATTCTGCTGTTGTGTCCTTGGGCAAGACACTTAACCCACCTTGCCTGCTGGTGGTGGTCGGAGAGACCAGTGGCACCTGTGCTCGGCAGCCTCGCCTCTGTCAGTGCGCCCCAGGGCAGCTGTGGCTACATCATAGCTCATCATCATCAGTGTATGAATGTGTGTGTGCGAATGGATTAATAATGATACACTGTAGTGCAAAGCGCTTTGGAGTCCTTACTCTGAGAGGTGCTATACAAGTGCGGGTCATTTATCATTTAACAGGCCAAACGTGAAAAGAGTCCTACCCCTATGTTCTGCACTAGCCGCTGATAGAGAAAAGACGGGGAAACAATTGGATTGGAAAAGCTTGACAGATCTATGTCACACTGTAAATTACCATTCATGGCCTCACCCATCTTGGCTCACGACCGGGGAAGTCTTTTGTTGGTTTAGCGTCCAGGAAACAGCAGAAAACGTCTCGACAAGTAGAAGCTAAATGTTAGCATTAGCATCTCTGCAGCACAGCAGAACTCCTTCAGACTTGTGTTATTTGTTGAGATAAAACATCAACGTTGCAAAGCAAAGAGAGTCAGCGGTAGAGTCATGTCAGAGGCAAGCTGCCTGATTATTGGGCAATAAGACTCCAAATCCTGCTGTTTCTGCTCACCTACTCCTCTGGCTAACTTCTACTTCCTGAAACAGGAGTGGCAGAGCTTTTTGCCACAGAGATGCAGATGTGTTGACAAAAACATAAGAACTTGGTCTTTTAAATCAGGCATTGATTGGTGTAAAAAATAATTTCTCCTAGTTCAGTTGATGCTTAATTTTTTATTAAATCTGGAAAATCATTATTGTATCTTTAACAGTTTTACAATTTTTCCAAATATTCTTTCAGAAATTAAGTAGTTTTCAAATATTTAACATATATATATTTACAAATGTATTGCTTTACTTAGTTCCATCTTTTCCTTTTTTTTTTTACCGTTTCCTGTCTGGCTGTGAAGCAAGTAGAATTGATGTCTGAATGCTGGTGACAAGCCTTACAGATTTACTCTCAGGTGGAGCATTAAAGCGTCTGCTTTTAATGTCACGCCTGATACTTAAAACTTTATTGTTATTGTTTTTGAATGCTTTGTAATTCCGACCAGACACGGAGACAGAGGTGAAAGAGAAAGGAAAAGAAAAGGTGGGGAGGGGGGGGGGGGGTGTCCACAAAAATAAACCATAATGAACAAGAGTCTGCTTCTAGACCTGCAGAAAAAGACAAAAAAAAAAGCAAAAGGGCAAAAAAATGGGACACAACAACAATACAACAAGATCAAGCTATCACTGCGTCAACTTGATGAAGAAATATATAATCAACATTGCTTAACTGAAGAATCACGATAATAAATCACAGTGCATTAAGTGCCCACCATAGTCTTAAGACCCGTGTTTAACGTTCCCAAACCCATACTTTTGAGAGCACCATGTGAGCACCTGTGTGTGTACACGCGCTTGTTTATGTAAGGTTTCTCTATAGGAGCATCCAACAGAGAGTGTGAGGGGCCACAGATCTGCCCCCCAAAGATGCGTAGGAGACGGGTGGAGCTCCAAGTCTCAGAGATCCAGGCACTGCCCCAGAACACAGGAACCCCAAGGAGACTGCAACCAGAAAGGCCCCCGCCCCCCTCGAGAGGCACAGAGGATCGCCCCGGGGGGCCACAACCAGCAGCCGGCAGAGTCCCGGGAGACATCAGCGGCAAGCCCTCAGGCCCGCCCGCAGCCTCCCACCCCCTAGCCGGCCGAGCCCGGGACCCAGCGACCCGGGACCCAGCGGTGACCACCCCCGCCGGGGACCCAGCAGAGCCCAGCGACCCAGACCCCACCAGACAGCCACCGGGATCTATCAGGCAGATGCCAAAATCTTAAACCCCCAGACCCGGTTGCCACGAACACTCAGGCAGACCGAGGCACAACCCCTCACACCAGGTTTGGCAGGGGGAGGGGAGACGAAGATCTATATCATCAAAAGAAGTTTCAGAAGAGGGGAGGAGTCAAAGGCCCCACCTGACATTTACAGTCATACACAAACACAGTCACACACTCCCTCCCTCATGCTCACACATACACATACAACCAAAGACTTACAAAAATGCACGCCGGACACCCACTCATACTCCCCATACACACCCTATTCACTCTGGTCCCGGTACTGCTGCACATTGGGTACAACCATCACCGGTAACCAGAGTTTGACTCTTTCTGCTGGGGTACTGATGAGCAGGCTCCCCCGCCCAACGCTGAGCACAGCAACCCACCACCCCAGACCCCAACCAGATGGCCAGATCTCCCTCCTAGCCTCCAGCCCCAGGAAGCCAAGCAACAACAGAGGTGGCTAAGACCCCTAGTCTCCCTCTGCCTGCTCCAATATAGTGTTGTGTGATCATGAGGTGTATTCCATGGCTGTGGTGAGCGGGCAGTGCGGGCATCA